ATAACAAGTGAATTAACACTGAAGCTAGCACTGATAGCAACAATCCCTGCATGCTTTATAAAAACTATAGGAGAAACTACAGGTTTAGACAGTGGAATCATCAAAAGCTGGGTATCAACACAATGCAGATAAAAAGAAAAACCAATCCCAAAACTATGCCATAAAAAAATCAAACCCAAAAATACACCAATGTAGGCTTTCATTAAAAATTTCAGTTAGAAGATTTGCTAATACTTTAAATTGAATGAGATCCAATTTAGTATACCTGAATAATGTTTTTTATTCCCACTCCTCAAAGAAGTGGAACAGAGTATGCTTTACATACTTATGTATCCTAGGTACAGTCAGCTGAAAGAATGCAGTTTTGAAATTGCATCATCCACCTGATCTTTTTCCAATTCAATATGCTACAAATTAAGCTTATCAAGATGCAGTTTAGAGATTGAATTTTTCCACAGAAGGTATTAGTGGGAAGATTATGTTCCTTATTTCCAGTAAATTTTAAAAAGTTATACTTCAGATTAAAACAAAAACAGTAAGACTAAACTTAATATAGGAAACCTCTTGTCCTAAAAGTTTCCAAAGCTCCATTTTGCATGCTGCATTCTACAACAAATTATTCCCACCTCTGCTCACATGAGACTAACTTGGACATTATCAAGCTGTTGTCAGCAATTCTGGTTTTGAAACTGAACTGGTTACCTATAGTGTGCTGAAAAAAGAAGGGTGGCATGGGGTAGCGGGATAAGTGAATGCGAAAACCAAAGGCACTAAATGTATACCAAGCAACAGGCTTCTCACTGTAAAAATACAATGTGTGTTAATGAGTTCATATTATGTAGAATTGAAGAATGAAGTTCTGAACAGCACCTATGCTGTCCTAGTAAGGAAGGGATTATACAAACTTTTCTGTTTCTTCAAAGGGCAATATAAAGGGAATTTTCTACAAGGAAATAGATAGGAAACGAGAAAATATAGAAAAGGGCAGTAGAAAGGGCATCACAGAGAAATGAATCAACAGATCATCTTGTCAAAATTCAGTCACTGAAAATTTCATCTGGAAATACTTAGTGTATGCGCTTATAATAGTATATAAGAAGAAATTCAGTACAAAAAACCTCACACTCAGTGCAGATTTCAAGAATAAGACTGAAAAACATAAATGAAAATGTTTCCTGCCATCACTGGCCAGCACAGTAGCTGAAATGCTGCACTACACTTAAGTGGTAAAATTTTACTGTTTCCCCATTACCAGTGTGGCTTAAATAGTAGTTTAATTAAAAACTGCTGGTTGCAATTAATTCTGCATATTGCAACAGATCCCACATTTAGACTTTGTTTTGTGTTTGGAAGCCTAAATTCAGAAGTATTTCAACAGAAGCACATGCCTACATAATTCACTGTGCTTTTTAAAGAAGATTAAGTAGCCCTCTGGTAAGAAACTTTGCTGTTTTACAGCAAGGAGATAGAAGTAATTATGAGCTTGAAGAAGTATTCAAGTTGGATACCCAAATTTAAACCCAACCATCTTTCTGTTGGTGGTGGTGGTGGTGGTGGTGTTGTAAGCAATAGCATGGAAAGCATTCAGATTTTATCACTAGAAAATTTCTGGGGGATCTTATTCATGACAGTCACATATTTTTTGTAAATATAAAGAAATCCTCAATTTCAGCTGTTAAGTGTATTTGATTCAGCTCTACTAACTTTTTCTTACTACTTGAAGCTCTTCATTCTACTTTTTCCTCTATAGGTATTCAGCAAATTTTAAAATGGCATTTACACAAATCTGACTTTATGGACTTCTAGTTAATAATCCAATGGTGTAGATACAAGAAAAACAAATGCTACATTGTCAAAACATGGTGACTCTTGCTATTTTAAAGAGATTTTAAAAATGTCTTTAAGGCTGAACATGAAACTGTTTCAACAAGTCCTGCTATCAAAATATAGGCAATCTAAGTTGGAAGCCACTTCACATGCATGCATTTGAGCAAAATTCATGTTAACAGTTGCCTTGAAGAGAAAATGCAAAGGAAAAGTAAAAAAGAAACATCAATTTTAAACTGTATGGTAGACTGACAGCATTCCCTTAACACTTTTAAAATTGGAGGTAAGATCTAGGAAGGAGCATTTCGCTTGATTGTTTACTTGTTCAATTAATCCAATGATAAGCATAAAGGACCAGCTAGCCAGCAACAAATACATAAGTACCACAAAGAGCTGCAGACTAAAAGCTAGTCAGTAAAAGCTAGTCTGCAAACTAAACTTCTAAACCTTTACATGGAGGCAATTTGCTTCTATATATGGGATTCATCAAATGTTTGTCCCAATGTGCAGAAAAGGTAGCAAAGTATTTCCTTCAGGTAATCAGGGAAGAAGACATATACAAATTTGTTCTTTTAGACTGTACCAGCCAATAGAAATATACAGGCATTTATTAATATATGTGATCTTATTTGCAAACTGCAATGGCACCTCATGATATATAAAATCCCAAAACAACAACAACGATTTTCCCCTATGCATTTCTATATATCAGCCAACTGAAGACAGAATTCCTGTGGGCTCTAGTCCACAAAAAGATTAACACGCAATGCATGAGATCACATTTAAGATGCCACAAAACTCATTTTTATCAGCATATTAATAGGAGCCCTTAATGAAATCCACAAGACACAACCTGGACTCTTCCCAGTTCCTGACATATGCCCTCACTGTAGCTTTCTACATAGTAGTCTAAGAGAAAATAACAAAAGGGAGGGTCACTGTGCCCTCCCTGCCCCTTCTGCATTGAGAATTAGTACTCGTAAGCTGCAATTATAGTCCTTCAAACTAAGAAAAATCTGCCATTAACCTCAATAAGATACTTAAATCTGGTAGCAACTTGCATCACTAACCATAACCATTCTATACTGCCGGAATGTTGCATGACAAGGCCATGTTGCCTTATTCCGATACAGCATGATACCAACACTTTCAAGCCAAGCTACTTGACATTGTACTTCACTACATAACCGGAACTTGGTACAAAAATATAATTTGCTGACATTTATTTCTGAAGGGATCACAGAAACATGATTCACAAGTCAATGAAAACAAGTCAGACTTTGCTGTCATCAATTTTAGATTCCCAAAGTTTCTTAAAATGTGTAAAACACTGGGAAGCCCTGTAAATCATGGGTATCCAATACTATCAATGGGATTAGAATTTTACCCCATGAGTTTAAGAAGCAGAACACAGATCTTGGTTAACTATGCACAGCTCCTGAATGTCTGTAGAGGGTATGAGCGGGTAACTTGAGACCCTCCAAACATTTTAACCAACAGCTTCCATCAGCCCTAGCCAGCACGGTCAAGGCTCAAATTCAGAGGAGTTCAGCCTGCTGGCAAACAACCAAACTAAGCAAAAGGCTGATTCGTATCTTATTTATCTGCTGAGTGATGACAAAAGTTGTATGCTAACACATCTGGAGGGCCACAGATTGCCCACCTGTGAAAGAAATTTCAACAGAAATCATTATGACAATATACCATTTCACAATCTACTGTTACACTACAAGTGTGGCCATTTATGGTCATTACTTTGAGTTAAAAGTTCTCCTAAAAATGGATTTACATTTTTATAAAATAAAATTGCCCAAATATTACACTTGTGTAAAATTGTGTAGGTTTATATAATATGATCTGTTCTGCCTATTTTAACAGACATCATCATGATGTATAGTTAAACCAGTATACACATCCTGTATTGCATGAGTTTATTAACTTGTCCAGCTGAACTAGTTGAACATTAACATTTGGGGGGAGGGGCTGGGGGGAGGTATTAAGAGGCTTTCAGTATTGCAATGAGCAGAAACTCCACTTCTGCTAAATTGTACCTGTCAAATAAATCACCAGCACCAAAACTCACCAAGAAGGTACTGCTCAGAACTGCAGCATAAATGGAGAGAAGGGATCTGAAGAGCGCATTACATCACAAAGCCACTTACAAAACTTGATAGCTATGTTGATACATAACAGGATCACCATCACCTTTTAAAGAACGTTCACAATTCTGACGGCAGACTTCTGAGCTGCACAGAGCACTGTCCAAAGCTAACTGTTGCAGCTAGCCTATACTGCATTTGTCTTTGATTCTGTTGCCAAGCTCACAAGAACTCTGTGAGCACTAGGTCTAGGCTTGGGTCCTTACTGACATATTTAGAAAGGGAGAGCCTCCATCCAGTGCTCCTTTCTCGAAGCATCCTGTGTATAAATGTGGATCTTTGCTTTATGGAAAATCTAAATAACACCTTCAACAACTTTATCTATTTACTATCCTAAAACTGAAAATTTACGGGGAAGGTTTTAGAATCTTATTTTCACTCAGAAGCATGTTTTTAGATTGCTTTTTATCAATTAATCTAAGGAAGAGTCCTATGAGGCTGAGAATCTTACAGGCTTCATAAACAATTTCTATTTAATGTTTCTATTTATCTCCCAAGGTAGCAGTAACTAGAAAGTATGTTAAACTTAAAGTCTTCTCTGATTCAGATAGCCACTGCTATATGCAGTACTTTTAAATAGATTTGAGAAGTTCTTCCCTGGAAGAGCAAAAAGCCTCAGCAATAAATACAGATATGAAGCAGCATTCTTCAGGAAGTTTGGCAGCATTGCCTGGTAAAGACTACATTATGTGCCAGCAGGCTGGACTCCACTGAATTTGAGGCCATTCTGCTCCATTAAGTAGTACAGTACATTGCTTATATAAACCACACACAGAAAGAAGTTTCACAGTATGGGTCAGAAAGACCATGTTGCAAGCTTAAAATACATAAAACTACATGTACAGATAATTTTGGCTACTGCCAAGAGAAAGATTATTTTAGGTGTGAAATAAACTCGTATAAGATGGAAAAAGTAACAGGCAATGACAAAAATTGTAACTATAATTGCAGTAATTGACAGCAAAACCTGCCCCATTTCAACTCCGAAAAATAAATACCCACTGCAGCACTTACCTGATTCCTATAAGTAGGGCTATCAGCATCGAACAGATAGGATCAGCTATCATTAAACCATAGTTCTGCATAAGTAGTGCAGATATGATTACACCAATACTTCCAAGTGTGTCAGCAACTATGTGCAAAAATACACCTATAAGAAAACATATGATGTATAAAAATGTTTTTTACAGCATGAAATTTGAGCAGGTCTTTACATAAGTGACATTTAGGACGAAGCAGACAACAGTGTACTCAATGGATATTTATTATGAAACTTGCGTAACCAAATGAGATGCCAGTTATTTGTCAACCCCTTCTCATCTTACGCTTGCAGTGGAGTATCCACCTCAGCATATTGCATAGGTAGTGGTAGGGACTTTGGGCCACATAACTTGACTCTGCACTGTGACTCTTCCCACAGTTTCCAAAAGAAGATGCTGTGTCAGCTCCTCCCAAATAGCCTAAAGCTTTTCGCATTACTCAAACTTTCACATAAAAGATACTGGGTGAAACAGACTTTCAATATGACGAAAAGAAAAATCACCGCATTCCTAATCATTAGTATGGGTATGGTTATTTGTTTGTCTGCATCTTATATACTGCAGTCTTAATAAAAGGTTCTTTGGACGGTTCCCAAGATTAAAAAACAAAATGCAAGTTAGAAATACAAACAAATAAAATGTCCTATTAGACCAAACTCTCACTACATAGCTATATACAAGTTTACCAAACTTTCAAACTTTTGAGTGCCCAAGTTTTTGTCAGATGACTATTTTTCCTAATTAAACAATTTGCTACAGTGTATTCTTGGGTGCAATAAAATAATGCAATCCACATGTACAATACACCAAGCAAGATAAAAACTACAGGGCTGTGATGAACAGCTGGTACATCTTGACCAGCTGAAGAAAAAAAGAAAGCTCTGCAAAAGCTTAAAATTCCTTCTCTATTTTTCAGCTGCTGAAATCATTTTTGCAGTACCAGCTACAAATCCTTTGCCAAATAAACTACTTAAGTTCTTGTAAGTTAAAAAAAAATCTAGGTATGTGCCAAGTCAGTATGTTTCACCAACACCTCTCCAAAAGCTTGCCCTATAGATCCCTCTGCTGGTAGTTAAAAGTATACTTGCCAATCAGGCACCAAAAGGAAAAATGATATTCACAGGATTTTAAATGTTTCTGCGCACAGCCTTAAGGATCATTTGTTCAGAGAAAAATATAGATAATGAGATCCTCAGTAAGAATTATTTTACTCAACGGAACAAGCCAGAAGTCTACAACAAATAACGAAGCATTCAGTGGTGTTTGTGTAACACAGTACATAAAAGAACATTTGGCACCCTCTGCAGGCACATCATATAAAAGAAAATCAGAAAACTGTCTTGTAAACTTATACCAAGGCATTGTAGACACTCCAGAATCACACACTGGTTTATTGTTGTCAGAGTGATCATAATTACAATTTAACACATGCAGCTACAAAAAGAAAACAGCTTCTATCCATACAGATAGCCAGTTAAATTATTTAACTAATAAACATGTTTTTAAAAAAAAAAATCAGATGTTCTCATTTCTTTTATAGTTGGAATTCTATAACTTCTAGACCAACAGAAATTGACAAAACCATAAGCACACTATAAAATGGAATTTTAACTGACTCCTGGGTACCTGCCTTTCCTCTCAATAATCTGCCAATTATGTCCATTGTCATTCTCTTTGAAAATCCTGTATCCTGGCTATTGTTTTATGATGACTAGAAAAAGCCCTGCTCCATAACCCTTACAAAAGTCCAACAGATACAAGTTTTGTGCAAGGATAATAGAGAGTTAGCAGCAGTTAGCAGCATCCAGGTACCATCTGTGAAATAAAAGAGGTCAGTTTAACACAGTCACTGTTAGCTTTAAATTTCTCAAGTCGCTTTATCTTTGTCTCAAGTTACCAGCCATCTCTGTGAGTAGAACTATTTTTATCCCTGAACTAGACTGATGTCCAAACTCAGAACTCTTGATTTTTAATGGACAAACAATCCAGGATATGTAGGTTCCAATTTGAGTTATTTGTCTCCCAACTCAGAGTTCTGGTTTCAGACGAAGTTTATCACTGTCAGACTGGGTGACCTGCCAGGATTCAACATACTTTCTCACTCCTGCTCATTCATGGCTACCCAGAGATTGTTTAAGCCCTGGCAACAGCGATGTGCAAATATGAGGCAGTAGTCCCTGGCTCCTCAGAAATGCCTCAAAGTTGGTCAGCTCTTATAGAAACTGTGATCCAGTGTCAAGTTTCTTTCCTTCCCATCAGTCCCACAGTTGTATTACATATTAATAAATATTCCTTCTTGGAATGTAAATATGAGCTTATTTTTCTTATCAAATTGATGATATGTTAATGAAGTACTTTAATATATCCAAATAACTTGAATCATGAACTTGTGAATTCGAGCAAACAATTCTGTAACCAGCTGATAGAGTTCCTCAGAATAAAAAGGCAGTAAGCCCACAAGTTTTACTGGCAAATATTTTATCAGCAGAATTGTTAGTCCATTAAAACATGAGGTAGATATTTGACACACACACGCACGTGCACACGGGGGGGGGGGGGGGGGAGATCAACTTGACCATTACTAACTTATATGATAGAAGCTTCTTTAATTTTTTGCTTTGCTAGGTTTGAGCTGTGCTCCAATCGTTTCATTTTGGCAGAACCTGACATCTAATTCACTATCCTTATATCATACCTTCTAAAATCTGTTTGCTAGATGCTCCAGTCATTTCAGTGGGATGATCATCTGTAAAAAGAGCAAGGAGGTTAAAATAGTTATCTTCTCAATGTTTTGAGGTTTTATTGTATCACTGAAGTTCTTTTTAAGGAATCATATACTTTTTTCAGCAACTGCTTATAGAATATTCTGCAGTTCCTCCACTAAATGCAGCTGGGAACTCTAAATTGTTAAATCCCAATTGTAAAATTTTAAAAACCATAGAATTTTTTAAAAGCCAAAGAGCAGGAAAAATGGAAGACTGAGGAGGGGGATAGGGGGAAGACAGAGAGAGAATCCTCAAAACTGCAACCGGTTTCCAAATATTTCTATGTTCTTTTTAACACAAGTGGCCAAGCCCTCATTGTTTACCAGTTCAGGATTTCCAAACAATGAGTGGTATCTAAGTACAGATTGCTACTAGGCTGAGAATTCAGGAGCCAGTCAAACACAGCTAGAACATGTAAAGTTCAGAGCCTTGAAAATGAACATTCATGAATAGCAGCATAGATTATACCCATATTCTTATAAAGGCCCAAATTGTTCTGAGGCTGTACCACAAAAATGTCAATAACCTATCCTAAAAAATGAAAGGCTACATGGTAAATAATAACTGATCATAGCAAGCAATTGTTTTCCTTAAAGGGAAGAAGAACCTCTGCAGACCTAAGACTAACACTTTTCTTTCCAAAATAGAGGTAATGGCAAGACTTGCCAAAAACATAGTAAATAGAATTGTCAGTCAGTTCTTCCAAGGATCACAAGACAACACACATAATTCTCCCTTCCCCCTACCCTTTCATTCTCACTACAACCTTTTAAGGTTAGTCTGAAAGATGCTCAGAGAGCCAAGGTCACCCAGTAAATTCATGGGGATCTGATCCTGGGTTCCCCCAGTACTAGTCCAACACTCTTAACTACACTGACTCATTTTCATATCACTGCCACAGCACATACTTTAAAGAATCAAAGTATGCATTAGTGCTACAGAAATGGAGAGGTCTGAGGATGGACCCAGTGTCTCCTTACCATTTTTCTCATACCATTTTTCTCCTTCAGCACCATTCATATAAAAGCCCCAAGAGGCATACTGGACAGCCAAAACACAAGATTCAAACATTTTAATATAACCTTCACCATTATCCTGTCCTGAAGAGTCTAGCATTTTTAATGCATCCACACAGATGATCCACAGAAACCATGTGCAATTGTAAGTGCTAGCCTGGTGTTCCACACACACTTACCATGGCAGTAACCTGGACTCACTCCATGCCCGTGACTGTGATCATGAGAATGCTCGTGTCCATGACCATGCTTGGAATCATGACTGTGGCCATGCCCTCCATGACTGTGCCCGTGGCTCAGAGCCCCATTAAACAGCGAATGGCTATGTTCATGTCCTGTAAAAAGGACAGAAAAGATTTGTTGCCACACTCTGGAAAAGGTCTGGTTTTGTTATCAATAATGCTAACTGCTCAAGTTAAAGCTTCCATTTTATTTGCATTTGCAAGAAAAAAAGAGCAGAAATAACTGAAAGGTTTTTTTGCGTCCGAGGCAGAAAATCAGAATGGTTGCCTCTCTTCCTGCAACCCCTGAAGTTAAAATAGACAATTTCTTAACAATGAATTGAAATAAATTCTGCAAGAGAAACAGCTGCCTCTGCCTTTTTCAAACTTATATTAACAATATATGTGTTGACCTACCTATGAATTAAATGGTGATTCCAATTAATCTGATAAATAAACCAGTAAGTCATGCTGTTTCATATTCTACTTTGAAGGCAGTGATCAAACCACATTTCTGCATTCAGATATTACAAGAAGCTGTGGTTCCATAGCTACTATGGAAGCATCAACATGAGAAACACAATCAAATAGAAGAACACAGTAATATGACTTTATCTCAGACTAATGAATCATGACTCAAGGTAGTCCGCATTAGTTCCGAACAAAATCAAATTTCAAATATGGATTGCTATTGAACTATACTTGCACTGCTGCAAACTACAGGGCTTGTAACCACTACAACTATGTTACACACAAGGCATCTTCCATGTATTTCCTTATTGTAGATTATGTGCTTAACAATTTAACAAAGCTACTTGGGTATCAAATTTTAAACATTAATTTCCCATATTAACAATGCAATTCTATACCTGTCTATTCAAGAGTAAATGCAACTAGGTTCAGTGGACTTACTCCCAGGAAAACTGGTAAGAACTGTGCTGTAAGTTTGGAAAGCAGTAAAACTTAAGAGTGACAGAAACAGTTACCGCTGTAGCAGTAGAACATTACACCAAATTTAACCCGTTGGCCAATAAAAGCTAAAAGCAAGTGCCCTTTTAAAAGAGAATAGATGTCCAACCCAACGCTACTTCTGCAGCACCAATAACTTGCACTGCAACAGCCGGTGCCCCACTTGTCTTTTAGTATAGAGTTCCACTGATACTATGGAACTAGAGCCTTTATTAGCAAGTCTTTCTTTCCCCCTGAAACCCCCCTGAAGAAACAAAGCTACTGGGCTGGTTCCCACAGCACATAATACACGTTCTGGGAATTTTACCTGTGCATTGCAAGTGAAATTCCCCTCAGTCTGACAGATGATGGGACTCAAGAAAGGGGTAACATTCCCCCTCCCTCCTTGGTCCTCCTGCAGAAAACACATAGAAGCAGCGAGCAGAGCAAGATGACAGTGGTCAGAAGTTGGCACTTTCAACCACTGCCATGCATTTGCCTGCCCAGCACTACCACCAACGCCAGCAGAACAGGAACATTTCTGAACAATTCCATTCTCCTGACACATGCAGAAAAATTGTGTGGGGAAGCTTGAGGAGGGGAGGGGAGGGGAGGGGAGGGAAGCCTTCTGCTGGCTCAGACACCCAGCACACAATGAACTGAGCTGTACCACACCACATGGAGGCTGTCCACGCTCCTTGCACACTCATCGGCTGCAGTACACCATCTCTGGGCAAGGAACACGGGTGACCTCTGCACCACTCAGCTTCAGCGTGCTACAGCTGAGCAACATGAAGGCTGCCCATGCCCCTTTCATCAGGTGTAGTGCGTTATGACTGACAAGAGTCAGGGACAAGAGGTGCCTTTGCCTAGGTCTTTTGTGCTGCCCTGGCCTACAGCCCCACAGCACACCATCTAGAATGGATGGAGGGAAGCAATCCAGTGCCTGACATACACGCCTTCCCAAAACTAAGTTTAGGCTTGGGAAAGTGACACAGGGCAGCCAACTACCTCCTGTTCCATTTCCTTGCTGGAGAAAAGGATGGATGGCTGGAGCTAGGGGTGCAGAGGAAAGCTACCAGAGCATGTCACTCCCACCTGCCACCCTCAGCCTGACTGGGGCTTGGGAAGCTGGTGCAGGCAGGACCAGGGCCCTCCTGGTCCATGCACCTCCTTAGAAAATAGCTCCTTCCCATTTGCCAGCACTGCTGCAGTCTGCAGGGGTGAACCAACCCCTAAAGCAAGCAGTGGACCACTAGGAAGAGTGCTGGGTTTGATTTCACTTTACCCCACTGCAGCTTATAAGCCTGTGAAGGTTACTGTGTCATACAAGCCCAGTCACTGTGAGGCTTTCACCAAGATGGCTGAACAGAACAAATTACTGCCAACGCTACAACATAAGAGAGAGAGCTACAGCACAGCTACAAAATGGACATGCAAGATACTGTGCCAGTGGTACTTCAATACTAAATTTCATGTTGAGTCCTCTACTACAACTGGAGATAAAATAACAGATTACATAAATTATGATTTTAAAATCTTACCAGAACCATGGGAGTGGCCATGTCCGCCATGTTGAAACACAAAAATTCCTATAAGGTTTACAATGAAGCCAAGTATAGAAACAGGAAGAAGTCTCTCATGATGCACATCAGGAGGCTCAAGGGCTCGCTACAATAGTGAAGCATTGCGTTTCAGTCGAAGCCATTTACAACCACCTACCAACTTTCACAGATTCCCCTAATATCAATTCTGCATAATCCATTTTGTCATTTCTTTTAATGTGGAAAAGGACTCCTCTCATATATATTATGAACTTTTAATATCATTTCTAACAATGGAAGTGAATTATTTCACATTGAGACAGAAATCACAGCTATCCCACACCTAGAAGTATTAATTCAATTTCAATTATGTTACCATACCAAATATGTATCATGTACAGCCTAACAGCAAAGTTACCTGGACACACATTTTTTAAAGTCTGAGAAGGCCCTATTTTAACTCCATGTAGAAAACAAGGTAAATAATAAGTAGTTAAGCCTACAATCCTATTTATGCCTACTGCAGAGTAAGTCCCACTGAACTTCACAGTATTTACTTCAATGTAAATAAGCTTGGAATTACACTTAAGTCTTGGAGAACTTTGACTTTATTTCCTGCCTCAATAATTTTGCCATTGGTTTCTTCCTTTTAAAATCATTGCTCTTTCCCATCTAAATTCCCTCCCCCCCACTTCTTCGACTTGTGTCCTGTGGTCAATGTAGTCCACACTTCAGTCAGTAAACTAAAATGTTAATGATACTTAACACTTCCCATAGATAGTGCTATTTCCACTTTCACAGCAATCTATATTATCACAGCAACTAGTATATAACACATTCCATGCCCACTTCAAATGTTTTTTTCCTTCTGCTACATTAATTTTGAATTTTAATTACCTATAACTTGATTAATGGTAAGCCTATTGCATAACAAACTTCTGAGCAGATATCATTAACGCTACAATCCTGTAAACTTACCTGAGGGTAAGCCCCATTGAACACTGTGGGACTTACTTCCAAGTAAACATTATATCCTCAAGATTGTGCTGCACAAATCTCTTTATTCATCAGGAAAAATATTTACAACCATCTTCATAACATACCTCAACACCTTCAGAGAAAATGAAGAAAGCTGTGAAGATCAGAAACAGACCATTTACAAAACCAGCTAGTACTTCTGCTCGAACATATCTAGGGAGATCAAGAAAAGCAGGTCTTAGTTTCACTCTACATTATCCCAAAATGCACAACCATTTGTGTGATTTTTGTTTGCAGTTGTTGTGAAACATAATGGCAGCATGTAGCCATTCTTCAGTCAAAGTGGTATTTAACTAAACTACTTCAGTCAAAGTGGTACTTAAAACAAACAAACAAAAAACTAGTAAGTATTGAAGCTAGCACTGTGAACTATAGTTCCTGAAGTACCAATTCAATCACAAATAAGCAGTACAGGGGCCGCACCAAAAATGTATTATTCCAAAGTGCTTTGTGAGCATTTTCAGTTTTCTAATAAAATAAGCACCTTCCTGTTTATTGCATGTGGTTTTAGGCAAATCAGTGCTATTTCTTGAACAAAGAGCTCCAGGAACAGGCAAACCAGTTCAAAAGCTGCACGCAAAGCACTTTTCTCAAGTGAAAGTTAAAGGCCGGATCCACTTGAGAGCAAATTTCCCACCTCTCAGTAGGAGGAGTTTTGGTCAGGAAATCAGTGCAGAGCTTGGGTGTTACTTCTTCCCAGGCAGCACAGCTTCATATGCACCCAGAATAGCACTAGCCGGGTCAAAAGCAGCACATGAAGAACTGCTTTTCATCTGGCAGGTGTAGCTCCTAACAGATACGAGTGTTCTCCTCTTATTTCTTGCTAATAACCAAACCAGATATGCATACATTTTCTGTTTAGGGTAAGGTCTACTTTTATCATGAAATGGAGCACACATGGGACAGAAGAAAGAGCTACCCTTCTCTTACTTTTCCACATACTTGACTTTCCCTTCCCTAGTCAGCAAACTTCGGGCACTGGAGATGGGCTGGCTAGATTAAAATGGGTCAGAAGAATTCATTCCCAAGCATGCAGACATTTCATTTAGTGATAAAGGTAAAGGTTTCCCCTTGACGTTACGTCCAGTCTTGCCTGACTCTAGGGGGCGGTGCTCATCTCCGTTTCCTAGCCGAGGGAGCCAGCGTTTGTTCGCAGACAGTCTCCGTGGTCATGTGGCCGGCATGACTAAACACCCAAATGCACGGAACGCTGTTACCTGCCCACCAAAGTGGTACCTTTTTATCTACTTGCATTTGCATGCTTTCGAACTGCAAGGTCGGCAGGAGCTAGGACGGAGCAACGAGAACTCACCCCATTGTGCAGATTCAAACCGGCAACCTTTCGATCAACCAGCCTAGCAGCACAGCGGTTTAAACCACTGTGCCACCTGCAGTCCCTTCATTTAGTGATAGTAGATAGCAAACCTCTCCACATATAACCTTGCTTTAACTGATTAATGCATATTTAACATTCATCCCTAGAACCTCTCTGGTTTAATCCTCAAAATACTGTTAGTAGGGACTAGACATGGTCTACTAAATGGCCATTCTTATCTTTAAGAATCATGCTATTACAATGTGAAGCAAACCAGCCCCCTGGAAGGCTAGCACAAACAAAATGTAGACCACAATGGGCCATGAACACAGAGCTCCCTCTTAACCCAAGTTATTTATTTATTCTCATCTTTAGCAAAGTGATTTAACAGAGTGATTAAAATAGTGATTTAACAGAGTGATTAAAATAGAACCTGTGTGCCACCTAAAACTAACTTACATGTCATTCAGACATGAAAAGTGTGTGTGAAAATGAAAAGTTGTTTCAGCCTAGCACACAGTTCTGAAATTCTTATCACAGGAGAAGGCAGATTTTAGCCTTGTCAAATCTACTTTGTTACTTACTAGAACCCAGACCCAACAAAGCCAGGTGCAAAAGGAGTGCTTCTGAGAACATTCTGAGCCTAGGACTTTGTTTTCAGTACCAAAATCAAACTTAGTTCAGTCCTTTCACAGAGCACTCCATGATTTATGATTCACTCAAGCTCTCATCATTGCAGCACCTAACCTAATTTAGGTAGTAAAAATAATTTTGCTGCTATTGTTGAACAACTGGGAACCAGAAACCTTGCCAAGCTATTGTAAACCAAAGATCTACCAGTAGATGCCAATTTATCCTCTGTCTATCCCTACTCTAGCACAAAATGAACTACCCTGCACATAATTATTTCTCAGCAAATTCATTCTCATGCATCCCAATAACAAAAACTCCTGTTCACATACTTTAAGCACATAGAGTGTGTGAACAGAATCGGGATCTTTGTTTCTGATATACACAAAAAGGATATCAAGACTAGTTTATTAAAACATACAGAGACCACTATCAACTTCAAATTAGGTAACTATTAGTACAAGCACAGATAAGGTGTATGAACAAACAGCTTGCACCTAATTGTCACAGTGAATAGCAGCTATATAATATACATTGCCACCTTAACACCGGGCTAGGTTGTAGGCATCTAACATTTCAGAATGACCAAATCATGGTGCAATGCCCAGAAAAAAAAATATTAAGCAACACAGCACCACCATTGCATCTTTCAGCCAGTTTGCCCTCTTACTAAATATTCATCGCATATCCTGAAAATGATAGCTTCAGATTTCAGGAAGTTAGCAAGTGTCCCTTGGGATAGATAATTATACCCTTACCAGCATTAATAAATAGCTGAAAAGTATGAGATTGGTTTGATCACATTGTCATTGCCATCATGAAGCAAAGAGCGTTCCAGTGTCTTGAACTTGGCTTTCCTGCCAAAGAGGTCGTGCATGTACAGCAGCCTTCCCCAACCTGGTGGCCTTCAGAGGCATAGGAACCACAACTTCCAGAATTCCCGCACAGCAGAGCCACTGTCTGGGAATTCTCAGTGTTGCAGTCCAAACATGCCTGAGAGGCAAAAGCCTTCACTACAGTCTATCTTAAATTCGCATTAGCCAAGTTACAGTAGTAATATGTATAGCCTAATTCCACTAACCCACTTTAATAGAACAGCAATGCCTTGTCAGCATACTATGACAAAGCTGCAGTTTCTTTCCTCCATGATAAACAGCACTATGATGCAACAAATGTGTTCCCCGGAACATCCACTTCACTTGTTGGAATCACTTACCCATAGGAAAATGCATCATTTGACCTCCACTTTGAAATGACAGAAGCTGCAAGTCCAGCTAACAAAGCGGTGCAGTCAAAAAACATGTGGAATGAATCCGATATTAGACCTAAACTGGAAAAGCAAAGACAAACATTCAGTTAAGGGCAAAAGATACCAGAAGATCCAGTAGATTAGAAATGAAACTAGTTCTATGCGCAGGAATGACAATGTTTATTTGCAATTATATTTACTGAAGCACTACTCTTTTCTGCAAAAATCCCTTTGGATACACAAATACTGTAGCAAAAGTACAGGGTTCAGCCTACAGTGTCTAGCTCATTCAAGAACCATAAACCACTCAACTGTATTACAACCAATGAAGAAACAAGCCTAGTTATGCAGTCTGACACTACCAATGCAAAAGATTAGAAAAAATCAGAGTTGGCAAAGTTTATGGTTTACTGGTTCATGGAAAATTAAGAAATCCAGAACAGTAACAGTTCTTCAGAGGGTGGCAAAGACTAGAATATTTTGAGACCCAAGCTGAACAAGTTTATGAATTGTTTACAGTCACCTATGAGTTTATGAATTGTTTACAGTCACAGGCACAACAAACCTGTAGTGAGAAATTATACTCTCTATGCACATTCACATAGATACAATGACGATTTATAATGAAACCACTTGCCAAGAGGTGCTCAAAGTGAGCTGTGACAGTTTAAAACACAGAATTAGTGAAATATATAGTACTGATGTAGTTAAAACTACATTGAGTCTTATTTTAAGATGACTGGTTTACACATTCCAGTAATTCCTGGGTGCATCTCCAAATATAGCTTTTCTGTACCGATATCCTTAACTGCGGCTATTTGGAAAAGCTTCATTTTTCTGTTAGGCAGTCCATTTAGTTAGTTATCAGTTGGCTGGTCTGTCTTAACACTCAGACCAAGTAAGCTTAAAAAAATTCAACTTGCAAATGCAGTTTAATCCTTAGTCCCAATGAAATTATTTATTAAAAAAAAACCTTCCATTAATCAGACAACTAAGACTGTGATCAAAAGCATATTTAGACAAAAAAAAGTCCTACAACTTTCCAGCATTCTCCAGTTAGCTTATTGGAATTATAGGATTTTTTCCTAGGATTGCACCATAAAGCAACTTTATTCTTGGACTTTGGTTAATTTAAATCTTCCTTCACTGATAAAAAGTTAAATTCAAAAAGGTACTAGACTATTATGAAGTTCACCAATGTAGGTGTCTTTCATAGGACATAGGGTGATTTTGGAAGTTATGTCAGATAAGAATCATTACATCAAAGGTCTTGTCTGTCATGATTCAGAAATGTTCTCCCTTGAGAGATTTTCCTGATGATCACAGTGATTTTCCTCAGCACCTAGTAAGGACCATCCACCTGCAGTCAAACCACAGATTTGTATAAGGGCAGTATGATATTGGCAGTTTTACTTCCAATTCCTTTCCCACTTAACGTAATGTAGAATTTGCCATTCTCACACAAGCCACATTGGGTTGATGTTTTTATTGAACTTTTATTGATGTTTTTATTGTACACCAAAACCGCAAGATTTCTTCTTCAGTTAAGTTTAGATCCCATCAGCATACATGCGAAGTTAGGATTGTTTTGCCCCAACATGAATCACTTTACATTTGCTCGTACTGAACTGCAGGTACCATTTTGATGCCCATTTTTCCTATTTGGAGAGATCCTTTCAAAGCATTTTTCACTCCCTTTTTGCTTTAACCACCCTAAATAGTTTGGTGTCATCAGCAAATTCGGTCACCTCACTATTCACTCCTAATTCCAGGTTATTTACAAATTGAAAAGCATTGGTCCCAATACAGATCCCTGTGGGACCCCAGTGTTTACATCCCTCTATGAGGAGAATTTACCATTTATTCTTGCTCTTTGCTTTCTGTTATTTAGCCTGTAATTGATCAATAAGAGAACCTCTTTTTCCATACCCGCTTACTTTGCTAAGGAGATTTTGATGAAGGACTCTGTCAAAGCCTTTTGGAAGTTTAAGTAAATAATGCCAATCAGATCATTATTGAACCCAAAAAGTTTAATGGGGCAGGCCTTACCTTTGTGGAACCCATGCTGATACTTTTTCCACCAAGGATTGTCTTTCTATATGTTTGCCTAAATACTTCCAACCAATTTATCCAGAAAAGAAATTAAGCTAACTGGCTGTAATTTCAAAGAAGCCCCATGAATTCCTTTTTTAAAAAATGGCATTACGCTAGCCATTTTCCAGCCATCTGATACAATAACTGATCTAACAAAAATATTTACCATTCCTAAGACCTTAAAGAACTCAAATGTAAAATTTCAAAACTCTAGGATGGCTACCATTTTGGCCCGATTATTTATTAATTTTTAATCTTTTAGTAACATTAGGAAGGTCCTCTTTTGTCACTACTAGTTGAACTAGTTCCTTAGACTCCCCTACTGAACACAGTTCAGGCACAGGTATCTTTCCCACATATGCTGCAGTGAAGACAGATTAAAAGAATTCATTCAGCTCCTCTGCAATCTCCTTATCCTCTTTAACTCCAATGGGCCAACTGCGTCCCTACCAGGTCTCCTGCTTCAGGTATATTTACAGAATCTGAGCTGTTGTCTTTGATGTTATTAGTGACATGCATTTATCCAGTCAATCACTGAAACCACACATCACAGAGTAACTGAAGTCACACATTATTGCAACATTTGGATGCTAATTTTGTTTCTATCTCCAGATCCAGTTGAACATTCTGATCTGAGAGTGAACAGAATGCTTCTAGTACAAAATTACTTCTGCAGACTGGTATTGTCACCCACACGTCTGCTGTGGAGGACTCTAGCTCTTTAAGGTTTCTAGTTTAGTTGCCCTCTTACAAAGCAACACCTCCTCCAGGATGCCCTTCTCTGTACCTCCTGCAGAGTTTATATCCAGAGATGGTAGCATTCTATTGATTCTCTCTACTGCACTAGGTTTCTGTAATGTCTATTTCATCTAGATTCTCCTTCAAACCCAGGCAGTCCAATTCTCAATTTTATTTGGAATCTTCTTATATTTGCATAGAAACACGTATACACTGTGTGTGTACCTACCCCTTCTGCTATGGCACTTAGTCCTCTTTGACTGGTTATCACGTTTTACAATATGCTTTTGGTCTATTTCCTCATGCTCCCTGCAAGCTTAATATTGCCATGAACCCTGCAATATTTACACATTAAAAGATAAAAATCATAGTTCCTGAAGAGAATGCACCAGATCCTGCACTCAATAAAAGTAAACAGCCCTTCCAATAAAAAAAACTAATCAAGCAGGAAAGGGAGGGCAGTATTTTCCTTACTGCCTCATTCAACCTCTTCCTACCCGCAAAACACTTTTTTGACTTATTTTCCTCCTGAAGCTTAAGCTCTGCCCTTAATGTGTACCTAAAATATTGCATTTGCAAATACTTAATACAAATCCAGTGTTCCTCCAAAAGCTGATAACATCATCTCAACAAGTTCTAAAGACGATAGCTTATGGCAATTCTCTCCTCCACTCAGTTTTCTCAAAGCACTCTCAAGCCATGAGCACATCCTGAGCCCGGAGCTTCCTCTCTGACTTTCTGAGACGTGGCAGCACCAGCTGTGCTGAGCTTAGCTTCAGCTGGGAAGTACCGCCTCTCCCTCCCTCCCTCCGCCTCCTCTCCCACAGTACCTGTTGCTCCAAATGCCATACAGCAGCTCCACGAAGGCGAAGGAGAGGTTGAGGCAAAGGAAAAAGAAGAGATTTCGGGATGTCTTGTCCGATAAGATGGACCTGGAGAAACAGTGTGCAAAAAAGGAGGGTGGAGATAGAGCGAAAGAACATCAAGCAATGATGGCTGTTGTCTCGCTTCCGCAGGAGAATGAGAAGCGGCCACGGCCTGAAAGGGGAGCGGGCAGTTGTGCCCCTGCTCCACACACATTCACACGAGGCAGGTAGGGACCGCCCCTGGGATTTGGCCACCACCTCCACTCCAAACCACCTCACGAACGCGCCCGCGTGTATTCGCGGGAGCGCGTGTGGATGCCTCTGCTCCGGCCTCAAGGCAGATTCCAGATGGGGATACATACACGACAGGTGGACAGCCTCGACCTGCAGAGCCGGAGCACCACCAGGTCCTCCCCGACCAGATACACGCGGGTTCCGCCCTGAAGCGTTCTCCGCGTCCATGCATACGTTACATACAGGAAACCAAAAGGCCTCCCTCGCCCCCTCCCAGGAGTGAATGTGCTTGCCATCCAAGCCCTTTCCAAGAGGCCCTTGAGAAGACTCACGCAAACATGCCCCCTCCCCAATTCTCGACTGCCCCTGGCTCGGCTCGCCGAGTGTCCCCCCTCCCATCACGCGCTCCGATGCCCGGCGGCCTCTTCATTCAGCCCAGGTGGCCGCCAGGCCCTTCCTCCCACCCGCCGTCCCCGCATCCGACTTGAGCGGTCCTGCCCCTCCGCTCACGAAGACCCTGCCTGGCGAGACCCCACCCCACCCCGCTCTGACACCTCCCGCGCACACGGCTTCTCTACCGTACCCAACGCCTTCCTCCCGGCCAGCCTGTAGCCAAACGCGCCCGCCGCTCCTTGGAGGGCGGCTCACTCCTCCCCTGTGGGGCACAGCTGCACCGACCCCTTGCGAGGCCCCCCTCTGGAAACCCCCCCCGACGCAGCCGCGGCCCCTTCCCCGCGCCCCGGCCACCGTCCTCCTCCCCGTCCGCGCTCGCCCACCTGAACCACCCCGAGATCTTGTGGAGCAGATTAAACTTGGGCGGCTTGTACTCATCGTCCTTGATGGATAGAGGCAGCATCTTCCGCGGCGGCGCGAGGACGGCTGAGGCCTAGCCTGGCGCGGCGGAGAGGAAGAGCGGCCCCACACTCTCACTCCCTGCCCGGCAGCAGCAGCGGCCGCCGCCTGCGAGCTGAGCAGCCGGCCCTCTCCGCAAGCGGCGACTTCCGGCACAGCCGCGGCATCGCGCCGCCAGTGAGTCTGCGCGGAAGGAGGGGCGACGGTATCCTGGAGGACTCGGCGGCGCGGGGCTTTTCGTACTTTTGGCGGGGGGGGGGGCTCGGTCGCGGGAGCGGCGCTGGGGAGGCCCACGAGGGCTGGGGCCCCGACTCTCTGGGAGGCCGCCTGCCCTGCTGCCCGCGGGGCTCGCTGAAACAAAGGTACAGGGGGCCACATGATCTCTCTCCCAAGGGATCCCCCTGGCCTAGCTGGCTCTTTCCCCCATCAGTGTTTCACCTCCTGCTTCCCGTCCTAGAATCAAACACCGTCCACCTCCCTGCCCATAGATCCCTTCTTGGAAATAGGAGTGTCCTTCCAAAACATCGTTCTTTCAAGGTTTGTACAGGGACGCTGAAGCATATGTGTACGAACATGCGGAAACGTGTTCTTTTTTTTTTTCTTTTTTTTGGACCCATATCTTTTGAGGAGCAACGTCTCTGCTTGAGTGAGTGGAACTGAAAAGCGTTTTGTTCAAAGCTGGTGAACCCATGGCCCTCCAGATGTTGTTGGACCCAGCAGCACCAGACAGGGATGATGGAAGGAGCCCTTCGGTGGCCTTCCGACAATATCTGGAGGGCCACGGGTTCCTTGCTCCTGGTTTAGGCGCTACCTGAATGTGTGACTCACACATCCAAGGTTTCTCCCCAAGGTACGTAATCTTTATGACATAAAAAGTGGTGTGAAATCTACAAGTAGCACTAACCCAAGGACCCTCAGAAACCTGTGGCTAATACTGCTGGTGGCCCTCAAACGTTTATCCAGTAGGGTTTTCTAGTTGTGAAAGAGCAGACAAGTTTCCCTGAATGTCCCCTTGCTCACTATTACTTGATCTTCCTTTGCTATGTGCAGCTTCAGAGGAATACTGGCTGTATTCTGGGACACACTTTCAGTTTAAGCAGAATATTGGCAAACTGGACTTTGTACGCAGGAGTGTGACAAAGACTGTGAGAAGCCTGCAGAACCATCAGGAACAGTTGAAGGAGTTGAATATGTTTAACCTAGAGTTCAGGCAAGGAACAAGTGATATGACAGTCCTTCAATATTTAAAGATGGCTATCACATGAAGTGCACATGTTTTCTGAAGCTTACAGGGTAGCACCCAAACCACTGAGATCAAATTACAAGGAAAAAGGATTTAGGAAAAAAAATAAGAAGAATTGCTTAACAATATGATCTGAATCTAGTGTAGGCTGCAGGTAAGAGTGTATGCATAACGCTGTTTTCCCAACAGAAAAACAATAACATTGTCTGGAGTACACATCTGGCTGGCTGTCCTAGTTAAACAAGTGAATGGTTGTTTTAATCAGAAGCAAAAAAAGGTAGCCAATCACATACGTATAAATGAAAAAGCTCTAGCATTCTAAACACTGTGTACATTGGTAATGAGTTTAAAATCCATACAACTGTGCATATGATTTCAAAAATTGCATATATAACTCCATTTTGCCTGGAAGACATTGTTAGTATGTATTCTTAGTTTTTTGCCCCCTAATGTATTGTGTCAACTTTTTCTATTGCGGCAGTATCCCATATTTTGAATCATCAAATTTTAATTTCTGGCTAACATGGATTTTTCTGTTTTCAAGTAGTGCAAATATTTGCTTCCATTACCAAATTGTACATAAATCTTCCAGGAATAATTGGATGCTTCCAGGCTAGGCTTTATTCTGCAATTCCCCTGCCTCCTTCCCATAATTTTTAATAGTGTTAATGTACTGTTTTTATTTTTTGTTTGTTTCTATTGTTCATTGCTATGGAAACTGCTTGGATGTGCAATGGTATAAAAATACTGTAAGTAATAAATTGGAATCCAGATCATTACATCGTTCACCTTTGACCCTTCAGATTTCCCACTGCTGTTTATGTCTGCATTCTTTCCACAGAAAAGTCTATTTTTAAAAGTCAGAATAACTGCACAATGTCTTTTGAGGGGTAGCACAGGAGGTATTGGACTGGAAGCACCCACAATCTTTATATTATCTCATAATAAAACTTCTGGTGCACCGGAAAATTGATTACTGATTGAAGTATAAACCTTAACACTCCTGTCCAAACTTGTTTAATATGAGGACCACCAAATGGGAGTGCTATTAATAGCATAACATCTGCAAGTCTGTTGTGCCACAGGGCCCATGATTGTCAGTCTTCCTGTAGTTTTTCTTTCAAGGACCTACAAGGAGCCCTTTCTTTTCCTGTTGCAAACACCTTCTGATCCCTTTTGTGTGCTTTAGATTTGTAAAACTGAGGGAAGGTTTCCCTGAGGAGAAACCTTGCTGCAGCTTAGTTCTTGAATCCTCTCTGCCGCCCACTATTTCTTAGTCTTTTCCTACTGCTGCCCTGGCAAGATTTGGCAAAGAACAAGCTGTTGTCTCAGTACTTGTGCCACCACCAGGGAAAAAGGCCTTCCTACAGAAGGAGCAACATCATTAGTGCTTGGAGAAGAACCATTGATTTGTACCTGAATTTAAGCAGCTTCAAATTTCAACAGTGCAGTCTGCTGCCACATTTTGGTAATGAATTCTTGCTGTTTCTCTTTGCCTAACAAGCACTAAAGACATTGTGTTAGCATTGATTTGAGCTTAGTTTGTGACAGCATTAGATACTGCCCATGAACAAGCCATTGCTCAAGCTGAAACTTCCTTAGATTCTCTATTTGTATGAAGTTCAAAACATGGTATCCATTGGTTGCCACATCATTTGCACAGCATTGGATACCACCAGATTTTCTGTAAAGCACATCCTATTGATTTCGATTGCTCTCACTTCCAAGTACACATGCTCAGAATTACAGCCTGATTTTAATTCCCCAGTTACGACCAAGTTATAATTGCATGTATACAGTGAATTTCTTTCAACTACTAGAGGTTCAGGAATTGGGTAGCATATGGTGGGTGTCAGCTGCTTGAGGGAGTGTGTGTGGGCAGGAGACTTACCACCCTCCCTGCCTGGATGTCACAGATATAATATAGAAGGCTTTTTATAACACCTTTCGGACTAACAAATCTTAAAGGGCCTCTTTTGCCCCTCGGCCCCGGTACAAGCACCTAAAGCAATGACATTTAGTGTTCTAATTTCCTGATACAAACACCATGTTTCTTTGACGCTAACTATGCCAGTGATCAATCTGAATCAGCGACTGAGAAGTTTTTGCAAAGGATGAAAAATAAACGGAGACAGAGGGAGCAATAAGGAAAGCTAAATCGCACTACACAGCCGTCTGCTCTAAAGAGGAGCGCCTCCTTCCAACAGGAAGTACAAGGCAACAAAAGGGGAAGGAATCGCGGGCCTTGGTACAGCCCCCTTTGCGTTCCTCTCACGTTGCGATGGATGTTTTTAGTTGCAGTTGAATCCAGCGGTGCAGATCCGGGCAGCCGGCGGGGCGGCTTCGATCCTCCTTTTCAAGCCGCCTTTGAAATCTCCATGTTATTATTTATGCTGACGATGTGATTGCCCTTGACTGCAGGTAACGAGACAATATGAAGCCATGACGAAGGAGAAGAGGCAGTGCTAGAACACCTAATGCCATACCGGCGAGGGAAGGGGAGAGCAGCATTTTGCGCTTACATAGAGGCTCATTGCTCTGTCGGTTTCAGTTCGAAAGCGTGGGGAAGGGGCAGGGAAGAAAAGCAAATTGCAGGCTCGGATTCCTTGACTTCATTGCTTGTTGGGTTCGCGGGCGTGCGTGTGCTTCTTATGTATGCGTGGGGCATATTTTGAAGATAGGATAATGCTGGATAATGCATCGCATATTTGCCGTGGCAATGCCTTGCGCAGCTCATAGGATCAGGCACGCCGCCGCAGGAGCGTCGGTGGGTACTGCTCTGCAAACATTCCCACCGCCACCATTGGGAGGGTGGAGTTGGGCTGCCGATCTCATATCCTGAAGACCCTTGAGCAGATGTAGATCTCGCCTCTGAGCACAATTTATTGACCAAAATTTGTAATAGCAAAAAAAAAAGGGGGGGGTAAACTGTGGAGTTGCACTTTTAGAGCCTGCTCTAACTGCAGCTATACAAGCGTCTATAGACAATAAATAAATAAATAACCCTTTTTTGCTTACAGCAGCACTATAGAAGATAAGTCATTAACAGCCCAATCCTATATGTGATTACTCAAAAGTAAGACCCATTGCAGCAGCTGTACTCAACCTGGTGCTCTCCAGGCTTTTGGATTACAGTTCCCACTTTCAGGAACATTGGATGTACAGACCGGGGCTGATGAGAGCTGAAGTCCAGAGCATCTGGAGGGCACCAGGCTGGGAGAGGCTGACTTTGATCAGAAATGCATTTGAGGTGTTCTGCTGATGGTAGTCCCATTGAGACTGGGCTGCAAGACAAGGATAATAAACACAGGTTAGTCATGCTTCTAGATATACATGGAAATAAATTTAAAAGAGATTTTCTGTGAATGGGCTAGTCACAGAGTAATTTTCTTCACCAAGTGTGACTGGCCTAAGATGATACAGAAAAGTAGTGACAGGACATGGAGCCAGTCCTACTTTACTCCATACACAATTCTTTCTTGCTACTCCATACATAATTCTCCCCCCCCCACACACACGCACACACACTATTACATTGGATTTATAATTTCCCAGGTCCCCAGTCTGAGACTACTCCACACCACAGTACACTGGCTCTCAATAAAAGTTTGTGCCTGTGGGTGAGAGAGAGGCCACCATTCATATTCAGTCAGCCTGAATAAAATGAAAACCAAACAAAATCCATTGATCTCAATACATGCTTCAGCATGACATAATGCCTTCCATCAAACAAGGCAAAAGCAAGGTGTCAAAAGCAAGCCTTCCCCTACTTGGTACCTGCCTTCTGTTTTGGACTTCAACTCCCTTGAGCCCCAGCCAGCAGGCCCAGTGGTCAGGAATGGTGGGAACTATAGTCTAAACTAATGGGAGAGCACCAGGCAGGGGCAGGTTGGATGTGCTGTCTATTTACATGGCACTGTATTGGGGCTGGGAATTTGATCCTAAACATTTGACTGTGATTGTACACTTCTACATATATCTCCTTGGAATAAATCCCACTGTGTTCAATGGGGTGTACACCCATGTATGTGTGCACAGAGTGGAGGGGGGATCCAGATGTTCTGGCCTATGACTCCCCTAATTCCTCACCATGGGTTCTGCTGGCTAAACCTAATTGGAGTTATAAATCTGGAGAATCACAAATTGTCCATTTATGGACTTTATAGCATTGCAGACTAAGTTACACAGTGGGATTTGCCCACATAAGTTATGACAGGACTGTACACATTGGTGGAAGTAATATGTGGGTATTATTTTTAAAAAATAGGATAAAAGAGATTTTCTCGACAGAATCAGGATGGTTAACTAGGAAATTGTGCGGTGAACGTTTGAGCACATTTTCCTCTTATACATGGGTTGTGACAATGTGTAATTGTGAATTTCTTCGTTTTCCAACAGATCCAAAGCTAAGTGGAGTTCCCTGGTACACTGATAATAAACCATCCTGTGCAGGAATGAGGTGAGTTCTCATATAAAATGTGTTCCTCCATTGCAAAGCTTTGCATATATGCTTTTTAGAAATTCAGTTATTGCCTGGGTTTCTATTGCTTGAAAGAAAGGGATGTTGCCATGAACATTTTAATGTTAGGACATGTTACTACTATTTGGATTGCTGCACAGAGACATTTGGATTGTATTACTGAATCACCGTTTGCTTGTACATCTACCTTTGCATGTGGTACATTTGTATGGTAAGAAAGGAGCCAGAGTTACTCAGCACAAGTCAACCTTGCAGTCCAGGACTTCATTTTACATGTAAGCTGTGTCTGACTCTAATGGCCTGATCACTAAACCCCTACATTGAAAAAGTTCAATTTTTTGAAAACACAGGTGTCTATTACATTTAAGCCAGGGGTCTCAAACTCGGAGCCCGCGGGCCAATTGCCAGGCCGGGCACGGGGGAGGGGCCCTGCGGCCTTCAGAGCGCCGGCAGCGCCCAGGCTGGCCTCCAGGAGCGACGCGGGATGAGCGGCCCACCACCACCGCGGTGGTGGAATACTTGATGCGGCCCAGCCTCACCCAGACTCTACTTCCAGCGGCCCCCAGGGAAGTTGAGTTTGAGACCCCTGATTTAAGCAATGATAGGAACAAAGAATCCATGGCATTAGTGAAGCTTTAATACATACTGTGAGTGGTAAGGCAGATATGAAAATATATAAAGTTTTCTGAAGCTCCATAGCCTTTGCTGCACATATTGCTCAGCATCTTCCCTCCATTGTTCACAGAAGCCAAAGTGATGTGCCCAGAAACAAGCATCCTAACATTTGTACGTATTCAGCAGTTTCCAGTGACACTTAAAAGGGGACGTGTTAGTCAGTGCAAAGCATTCGTGCGGGTTTCCTTTCTCCCACTGTTCTTGATCCAACCCTTTTATCTCCTTGCTATGACTATTCAGAAGAAATACTCTAGTTGGGGTTCAACAGGCACCGATGAGGGCTGTGCTTAACTTTCAGTTTAGTTTAGAATCTGCCTTCGATCATAGTTTTATCATCACTGTTTGAGCTGTTCCTCACTCCTTCAATAAGTTACTGCAAATGTAAGTGTGCAGACAGCCCATAGATGGAGGGCCTTTTGTCTACAGTTACGCATGTCTGTGTTCTCCATGCTTTTCCCAAATGTCTCGTATGCATAGAACTCCTGGTTTTCAAGTACATGGCACTCTGTTGTTTTCTGAGCACACTTCCTCTCTTTTATATATGGAACTGTTGCTCTTACCTGCTCAGTGAGGACAGTGTTATAGGACCTAAACTGCAGCCATCCTCTTGGCAAGTCCCCCGTTTCTTACCTGTGTTTGTTACTGCAAACTTGAGGTTCTTAGCAGTGTCAGCATCTAGTGGGGTGAGGCAGGATACCTGCAAAGAGCCTGAGAAGATGTATTAGAAAACTAACCTTCCTTCTTTACTGGGCTTAGGCTGAACCTCTGCAGGGTTCAGACAGGTAATCTGGCAAAATGCTTCTCCATCCAAAAGAATCACATTTTAAAAAATGTCAGGGAGAGATGTGCTAGCCATACCTTCTCCCAGGCATCTTGCTTTCACTGTGAAGGGACAGAGAAAGGGGGCGGAGGGGGGGAACATTCAGTCATATGAGCTGCCCCCCTACCTGTGCTCTGAAGTGATTTGGTGCAGAGCCAGCTTTTACCACCTCAGTGAGATCTAGGCTTGTTACACCCCTTAATAAGTTTGCATGTGTGAATAGTTCATTTTCTGCTTGGTGACTGTGTCCCCTTTCAATATGTTTCCATGTAGGTTCATCCGCCCCCCTGTGCACTATACTCTTAATTCCATAGACATAGAAGCAACAAGCAATGTTTGCATGCAAATGTCATTTGATGTGTGAGGTGTGTTCCTCTACTTCAGAGATGGGCAAAAGGTAGATCAAGATTCACAGATTAGTCTTTTGGTGATCTGCAGAAGATCACCAGGGATTTCTGACTCCTGTTTTTTATCAACAAATTATCCACTCCAAATTAGGTTGCTGAAACTAAGGAAGTTTGGAGTGAGAGAACAGAAGCAGGATTAAATTGCTCTGTGAAAGGCTAGTGAGCTCAGTTCCAAGATATGTGCTCAGCAGTTCCCTGCTCCTTAATTCTAAGAGAATGGCTTCCCCCCTTTCTAAGCCAATATTTTGTGCTGGTGGATCTCAAGGTTCTTGAGGAAAGGGAGATCTCACAATCATGAATTTGCCCACTGCTTCCCTACTGAACCTTGAATGAGCCTAGGTCTATGCTAGACCACTGTCTTTCCCAACCTGGTGTCCATCAGATATACTGGACTACAACTCCCATCATGACAGAAGCTGCAGCCCAGCACATCTGGAGACCACCAGATTGGGGAAAGTCACTAGAGCTAACATGATCCTGTACGTGATCCTTTTCTCCAGCCTGTCTATTCACAGCCATGGTTGTTCTGTGGCAGGAGTGAGAAACTTGTTGCCCTCCAGATATTGTTGGACTGCAACTTCCATCAGCCAATATAGCCAACACGAGGGTTGATGGGAGCTGCAGTCCAACAACATCTGGATAGCCACATCTTGCCCAACCCTGTTTGGTGGGCTAGATGTTTCAGTGCCGCACTGTTTTGAAAGACAACATTGTTTTTGAGAGGCTGGTACGAGGGGTGTCTAAACACCATTGTTCCATGTTTCTGCCTGCTTATAACCTGCGCTGGCCTTTTGTGTTCAAACAGCAACCTCACCCTTTTGCAGTGCTCCCCTGCTATTGAGCCTGTGCAAGGGTATTTGAGCAATTCAGTCTCCTTCTTGACCACCTGCCAAGAGAACAGAAGTGCCTTTGAAAGCGTTCTATACAAATCCCAGTCCACCTAAGCCAATTAAAAGAGCCAACTTAGCAGTCCCCAGTGAATATTGATTCTCTTTTTCCCTAGCAACCTGTTCATGTTTTATCCATCACCTGAATTTCACTGCTGTGTGCATGTATTCAGCTTAGAATTTAGTAGCCAGCAGTGAGGTTGAATTGGTACTTTCAGTTGAGGGTTTGCATTGACAGATTCATATGAATGCAATTTTATGAACACCAAGTGGCATGTTTAGAATTTGATCATTTTAGATATTTCAGTTACCATCATGCAGCATTTCTCAGTCTTTATCATGGGGAGTCTTTCTGTTTCCAGGCATTGTCTTCAGTTTTACCAGATAAGGCATGAATGAAAGGCCTCTCTTCCATTCATATTTGTTTAAAGTGTTCTTATTCCACTCCACTGCCAAAGCCAAAAAGGCTCCTTGAAGCAGCTTCCAAAGCATCAGTTAAACAAGACCATAAGCGTAAAATGACATGACACCCAAGAAAAAAAAGAAGAGAAGAAAAAATGAAAGATTCTTTTAAGAGGGCTGCTGGAATGATGCTGCTGTCCCCCCTACCTCCCTGTCTTGTACTGTGCTGGAAGGTCTGCTGGGAGTTTTTTCTCCATTGCCCCTTTTTGATAGATTAAATGAGAAGCCTGAGGCCAAAGAGTTGATAAGTAACTGCAGATCACTTAGCTCTCTGGCATTGCGATTCCCAGTCACACATCTCTGTCCCTTCCAGTTTTAGTTTCCATTCTCTGGATCACTCTTTCTCCTTACTTCCATATACTAAACCTTAGAACTTCCTCAAATTCTTTTTCTATTTATGTCATTGAATGCAAGTTGCTCCAAGCAGCATGCAGGGCTCTTTTCATCACATTCCTGTTTTCTCCTTAGAACAACCCTATGAGGCAGGTTGTTCTGGCCTAAGTCATCCAGTGGGCTTCTTAACCGAGTGGGATATAGAGTTTCCTTGCTACTCATTGCACCTGATTAGTGAAGTCCTGGATTTTTAAATCCCCCCTTTTGTAGGCCCTTGTGCTTGCCTTACCGTTCTACAGGTGTTTTCAATGGAGGAGTTCAAGAGCTAACAGTCAAAGGGCAGCATACAGCAATTCCATCTTTTCTTGTTCAGTTCTTTTCTCTGGTTAAAAGAACAAATGGTTGGATGGCTAAAGAGAGAAGACAGCAGTGTCTGGGCCTGCCATAACGTTCTGTGAAGTTGTCGAGTATATTTTTAATCAATTAGCTTTCCTATGCAAGCAAGCAAGCAAGCATTACCTCAGACCACAGACAGTATCCATATGCAGCCAAAGAGACAGAAGTTCCCAGTAGACTTTGCATAACATAGTACTCACAATCTTCGGTTAGTTCCCTGGGTTAGAGCACCATGAAAGAGTTGCCCCAAAGTGATGCAAACTGCTATGGCCTCCCCTTTTCATACTAAAAAGACTACCAAGTCCCTCCCTCATATCCCTTTGAGCACTGCCTCTCTACTCCCTTTTCAGCCAATGCTTAACCTTTGGATCTCATATTATCATCCCCTCCTCCTCTTGATTAGGAGCCTGTATTCCCATGGGCTCAGGGGGGCCAGCTTGACTGCCCTTCAGAAAGTTAGATAACAGGTGGATTTCTTCCTCTGTGCCCTGGCTCCTTGCCAGTCTTCTGCTCCCACACCCTTGAGACCCCATACCTGCCCCCTCCGCCTCCCTGTTTGACTCAGAGTAAGTTCCCGTGTCTCCTTAGAGCACCTCTACAGAGATGTTAGGCCACATCCCTGCACTATATGGAAAAGGCATACGCACATGCCTTTACTGTTCCATAGCTGTGCCAGGAACCTACTGATGGAATTCTGATGCCGTAGCCCTTGCACCATCAGCAGGTGGCTCCCTTTCATCATCATGGAATCTGGGCTGTTCTTGACTTGCTGGTTGCTTCTGCTTAGAACATGCCAATCATCAGACTAGGTTGCTGAGGAGGCCATTGTCAGGGACTTCTCAGGGTTGGACTCCAGCAAATTACCTGGGCCTCAGGGTCACCTGCAGAAGGGAATGGGGTAGATACCATCACTCTCTGTAATTGGTAGGAGGTCTGCAGCTTTTGATTGACTTGTCCTAACATAAAGCTTGGCCTTTTCAACCTTCTTGGCCAAGCAGTATTTTCTGCCTGCTGTACTGAAGGTTCCCACAACCCAAATAGACAAGATTTGGGAACAGCCACCCAAAGGCCTATAGCCTTTTCTAGAGATTTTGGAGCTACTAGGTAGGCACTGAACCTTTTGCCTTGCCTAACCTGGTGCCTTCCAGGTGTTTTGGACTGCAACTTTCAGCATTTCTGATCATTGGCTATGCTGGCTGGGGCTGATGGGAGTTCAAGTCCAAACCATCTGGAAGACACCTGGTTAGGAAAGGCTGCACTAAATTCAGAGATTGAAGAAGAGGTGGCATTTGCCTTCCTCGCCAAACATTCAGTGGCATCTGTTCACATTTTAAGACCGTTAGCAGTATCTGCTCTGACTCTGCAAAATTCATTTCACTTTAATTAGCTTTTTGTTGGCTGATGCCATTTTTTAATTTTGCAAAGTATGATTGTGGCTGATTTTCCTCCCTGCATTTTTAAATATATATCGAAGGTTCTATCACACGTGCAAGCTACCTGGAAGAATCATGGGGATCCGGCTCCTTCACTTCTCTTCTGTTGTGATCCTTTTGTTGCTCCTGGTGGCAGGTGCATTAACTGCTTTGCTGCCTAATATTAAGGAAGATAAAATGCTTACTTTGAGAAGAGAAAGGAAATCCCAGAGCCAGTCTGCTTCGGATTCCTTTACTCTCATTATGCAGACATATAACCGAACCGACTTGCTCTTGAAGCTACTGAATCACTATCAAGCCATCCCTCATTTGCATAAAGTGATTGTTGTATGGAATAACATTGGGGAGAAAACACCCGAGGAAATCTGGAACTCCCTGGGACCACATCCTGTCCCGGTTATCTTCAAAGTGCAAACAGTCAATCGCATGAGGAACAGGCTTCAAGTTTTCCCTGAGCTAGAAACAAAAGGTAAGGACTTCCTCACCTCTTCCCACCTGTCCATTAGCAGGTCACCCTTACTGCTTTATAGCATTATTGCCTTTGGAGAGGCAGGTTATAAATTGGATGCTGTCTTACATAACACACATTCATCAAGTGGGAACTGTTATGGGCAAATAAACCATCACAGATCAAAGACCATGGAGCAAATGTTCAAATTTGTTTGTTTGCTTGCTTTAAATTTTTTGTATCTCGCCCTTTACAATGGCCTCACCTAAAGTGAGAGATGTTGCCAAACGTTGTAACATGTAGCTTACAGAGCCAGTGTGGTGTAGTGCTTAAGAGCCCAGGACTGGGACTCGGGCGATCTTGGTTCTAGTTCCCACTCATCCATGGAGCTCAGTGGGTGACTTTGGGCCAGGCACAGACTCTCAGCCCAGCCTATCACACAGGTTTGCTCTTGTGAGGTTAAGATTGAGAGGAAACAAATTATGTAAGCTGTCCTGAGTTCCTTCAAAAGAGAAAATAGGCAGGATATAAATATAATAAATTGAATAAATGATATAGCTGGACTAATCCAGCTTGTCAGGCTTAGTTTCATTATGTAGTGACAGGCATACCCACAAAACTCTGTCTCAGATTTTAAACTGCAGCCACTGCTCCTCCTTGATAGCACAAAGGCTTCTCAAGGGCCTGTGCAGGGAGAGAGCTTGCAGTTCCAGCTGTAGCGAGCTAAAGCTGAAATTTTAAGCAGAGCTCTCAGGGAGTTAATTCCCACTAAACACAGTATGAAACCCTGGGATCCTGCCACATTAAACAGAGTGGGGAGCTTCCTCTGTGCCTCTTAGTGCAGGGCTGCAGAGCTCCAAGCCCAAAGGTCGAATCCTGTTGAACACTGGATTTTCTGGATGACCACACCCCCTTTCCCCCCACATCACTTGGCGACTTCCCAGCTGTTGTGAAGTTCTTCCCTCTTTCTAAAAGCCTCCCCTAAGGTCTAGTTACCAGCGGTAAGAACTGCTCTATGGGGGTATATTTGGTCCTGGCCCTTTTGTCGTCAGCCATGTCCGCTGTGGAATGCAGCCCTTGAGAACTTATCTGAAATGGATTTCAGCCCTCAGACTAAAAGCAGTTCAACACTTTGGTCTTAGTGCAAATGTGCAAAGAGGCTAATCCACTGACTCGTATTCCCTTTTAGGAATACCCAAAGAGCTGCACATCAGCTGCTTGTAACCCATTTTGGGTTCCCCTGCTATATACAGTATTTTTGTTTGCAGGACCTTGAATGGCCGGGGGGGGGGGCATTCAATAAAATTCATTAAAATAAAAAAAGCTTTATTTTAAAAGAGTAAAAAACATGGCTGAATAAGTTGAATAAGGCATCCTTTGATTTTTCCCCAAATCATGATTCATCACTTGCTCCAAAGATCAGCTGGACCCTTCCAGTGTTTTCCCCAGGAAGAATAATTGCAGTGAATATTGTTCCAATTTGTCATATAGTCTTTTGCTTAGTAATGTCTTTTTCATGTGTACACTCATCAAAATGCATTTTTCTCTGTGCAGCTGTTCTGATGATGGATGATGATACCCTGATTAGTGCCTATGACCTAGTTTTTGCTTTCTCCATTTGGCAGGTAATGTCCACCTTCCACTTCATATACCCTATTTTATTAAATAGAATCTGCATTTGAGAAATGCTTAGGAGTTTAATTCCATGCACACTTCCTCAGGAGTAAGCCCCAGTGAGCTTTGCATGAACATGACAAAGATTGCGCTGCCTGTGTCCCTGGAACACAGGGATCCCCAGAGCCGCATCAGGATCTGTCAGCGCGTTGCGGGGTCTTCCAGTCAGGGACACGCACGGTGATGCTGCATGCAATAGCATGTCCCCATACACCTTTCCTGGTGCTTATTCCTCCCCCTTAAAAAATTACCCGTTTTCTCACTGGCATGTAGGATTGCTGTACAGTAGGATTCTGTGTGTAATGACAACTGTGAGTTGAAAAGGGTTGTTTAATGTGTGGGGCTCAGACCCCAACTTGACCTTATACTCAATATTCTGGGCAGGTTATTTGTCCTTTGCCACACCTCCCATGGAAGCTGTTTTCTGATAGTGGCCAATACCTTCTGAGCTGCCACTGAGTACATAAAGTTACATATTCAAAGAGATAACTTAATCCTATGGGAGCCAGTGTGGTATAGTGGTTAGAATGTTGAACTGGGTCACAGGAGATCTGGCTTCTGCTCCCCACTCAGCCATGTAGTTTGCTGGGTGACTTTGGGCCAGGCATGTACTCTCAGCCTAACCTTCCTCACCGCACAGGGTGGTTGTTGTGAGGATAAAATAGAGAGGAGAACCACCAGCAAAGAGGAGCTTACACCAAATCCTAGAACCACTTTCTATAATATATGGAAATGTATTTGCGTTTTTGCTAGTTACTACTGCAGTAATAGCCCTCTTTTCTCATTTTCAAGGAACCTAAAGTAACTTCCATAGTCTTCCTCTTGCCCATTGCATCTTCACAACAACCCTGTGGGACAGGCTAAGCTGAGTTAATGACTAGCCGAAAATCACCCAATAAGATTCATGGTTAGAGCCTGGATCTCCCAAATCCCAATCCAACACTATCATACCACACCACCCAAGCTCTTCATAGTAGTATTTTCTTGTTTACATTTTTACCAGCATACTTGTTTTGCCAAGCATGTTTTTTTTAAAAAAAAATGACTGCAACTATTGCAGAACAATTTAAAAGTACCAAATGAAATTGCACTAATTATGCCTCTAGAATGCATTGACATGGTTGTAATTTTTTGGTTTCTGTATTTCTGTGTATGTGTGCATTTATGTACATACACGTGTATGAAGGGGAATAAATTATAGCTTATGCTACCATAGAGCAAGGAAAACTCCTGTCCCATGCAAGTTGGTCACAATAAATGTATCATTTTTCTTGAGATGAAGCGGGAGTCCTGCCAAACCATATGGCTCCCCTTTCAGGGAAATGGTAGTGGAAATGAATTATGTTGCATTCATCTTGATGGAAGGGTTTGCAATCTGTTACATTTGGGAGGTTTGTAATAATTCATATATAACAAGCTTTCCGTAAAATATTTTGTAGTCAGCCAAAGTAAATAGAGAACTAATGTGGTGCAGTTGTTAGAGGGTTGGCCTGGGACTAGAGATCTAGATTCTAATACCCTCTTGGCCATGAAACTCAATGGGCAACTGTAGGCCAGTCACTGGCCAATGTAACATACAGCCAAGACTTCATAAGGATAAAGGAAGAGGACCGTGTAAGCTGTTTTGAGTCCCTTGCAAGAGGAAAAAAAAGATGGAATAAGTATTAAATAAATATTTCTCTTCTTCATTTCTCTCTGTTCAAGAGCTGGTATAGCATAGCAGCTAAGGGACTGAGCTACAAACCATGATGTCCCTGGTTTGAATCTTACAAGAGCATTAAGCAAACAACTCTCTGTTTTGGCCTATCCCTCCTCATTTTAATATGGAGGGCGATAAAACTGGCATGTGACAGCATTGTTGTACTCCTTACAGTCATCCGGTCAGGTAACTTGGCATTATTTCCAATGAGTAAATGAAATTCTTTGAACGCTTGGAAGTGCTAGCAATTTGTTAAATAGGATTGTATGCCTAAGCAGATATAACATGCCATGGAGCTCAGTAGGGCTTCCTTCCAGAGAAGTGTGCAGAGAATTGCAATCTTCATTATGTCCACTTAACCACTGGTGGTAAATTCATACAGCAGAGAGGAATTTGCCCTCTTCTACATCTGTCCATCAATCTCAATGAGCGACTGAATGCAAATTCTGCAGGATTTTAGAAGTTACCCTCATAGTAGCAAGGTGCTAGAATGGTACTTCATGCAATCTAAGCATCTGTATTCTACCCTCAACCAAGACCACACTCAAATTGCTGTAGCATCAATATTCTTGATAAAGTTTGGAATTGTAGATTTTTATGAGCATCATGTATAAATCAAAATCCCCTTTGTCCCATTTTAAATCACTGCTGTTATGAATATTTGATTGGTGCCTAATTAGGAAGTTCCTCAGGTACTTTTGTGTAAATGCATTTCTTTCGGATTCCATCCATAGAGGGTACAATTTAGCATTAATGTCTCAGCTGATTTATGTATAATGCATTATAGAATTGTGATCAGTTTTGAATTAGCCAGTTGTTAAGATCTTTTCTTCCCTTTCCTACAGCAATTTTCAGATCAGATAGTGGGATTTGTTCCTAGAAAGCACGTGCCTAGTCCTTCAGGGATATACAGCTATGGAAGCTTTGAACTGCAAACTCCCACCATTGGAAATGGGGACCAATATTCTATGGTTCTCATAGGAGCAGCCTTCTTCAGCAGTGAATACCTAGAACTATTTCAAAAACTACCTGAAGCTGTGCGCAATATGATAGATGAGACTCAAAATTGTGATGATATTGCCATGAATTTCTTAGTGGCCAAACATACCGGAAAACCTTCAGGGATATTCGTGAAGCCAGTAGACATCAGGAATTTAGAAAAAGAGAGTAACAGTGGCTATTCTGGAATGTGGCATCGGGCTGAACACTTGCTCCAGAGGTCCTACTGCCTAAATAAATTGGTCAGTATCTATGGCAACATGCCCTTAAAATACTCTAACATTATGATTTCTCAGTTTGGTTTCCCAAACTATGCCAATCACAAGACTAAAATGTAAGAAGGTGCTGCAAGGAAATGCTTCAACATGCTTCCAAGCCATTGAAATGGTAACCTAAGTAGAGAAGTAAATATGTACGGCTGTACACTATTTGGAGATTGTTTCTGCAAAAGCTTTTTGGGGATGTGAAGTCTGGTTGAAGTGTTGCATCTCTGTGGCTCAGCATGCAAAAAGCTTCTTCAGTTGGCTCTGTCATTTATCCCAGTTTCAGTCAAACCCATCCACTTACTTGCATGACGTTGGAGCATCCCAGAAATGCAGAAGCATTTACCTGATCAGTATCTCCAATACATTGTCAGCAAAAGCTGTTCAGCCCACAAGAATGTTTAGTACAGGCCTGTCCGCCCACATTTATTGATGTTTGTTATTTGTGGCCTAAAATAAGAACAGGTTTTTGTAACATTTTCCCCAGCAGTTTTGCTTACCATGGATAAACAGGCCGGCGATTGTTTGCAAATTTGCACATAACATTTAACAGTCATTGCAGTATCAGTCCTTTCACCCATGGAAATGCAGAATCAAAAATGTTCCAAGAAGAGTACTTTTCCATTTCAGGTACATTTAAAATCATTCTCCTTTGCTCTGAATGCTGATGATGATGATGATGATGATGATGATGATGATGATGATGATTAGTAGGGCCAAATATTCAAGCAAGTGCACACATATGTTGGCTTGTGTTCATGTGCGGAATTTCTCACCCACCTTGTAAATGTGTTTGCCATCCACTTCGTTGACTCTGTTTATCTTAGCAATGGTCGTTTGCATTATGAGAGAGCTTCATTACATTTCTCAGGCCAAGGGCTACTGTCAAACGCTTGCAGAGTTTCCTGGTCCTGACATAACTACGAAGCAATTCCAAGCTTGTACATCGTGTACTTTGACTTGCTGCTCTTTGGTCTGAAATGTTCCTGATCTCCAACATGAGGGACCAGCTTCATCCTCTGTCAAAAAAGCCTATAAAGGCTGGCTCCTAAGGATGGGTGTTCATGGAGATACAAAAGCAAGACTTTCTGAAGGCAATGTGGCTGGGCAGACTTAGTAGAAGCAGTCAGGGCCATTGGCTGCGTTCTGGGGGTCTGTCTTCTCCATTGTCTGTTCTTCCTTCTGCTGGAGAGCCTGGAATCCAGATTGCCCATATAGTGCATGTTCCATGTATGTACAGCCATGGGTTTTTCTTATCACAGTGGCAGCCTCTCCCTCTATATGTACAAGCCTCCACCAGAGAAGTTACTGGATCCTGTCTCCGAATCTATTTTCCCACGGCCCAATCTATTCCCCAAAGGCCCAAGTGTCTGTCAAAATGGAAAGGCTTTTTCCTAAGTTTAATTGCCATGCAGGAGGTGATTTTTGAGGCGAATCGCAGCCAAGAAATGAATAGCTCCCTTTGTTGCCCAGGATTTGCCCTCCACATGGCAGTCCTTCCCAGGACTGGGGAGGAATGTCTCCCCAATTCCTCCCTTAACCCTAAGCCAATTAAGCCTGTGGGCTCAGGACTCTAATCTTTGAAGTGCCTAGCAGTATCCCTAATCTCCACCATGTTTAAACACAGCTTTGCTGTTCAGAGGGGACCTACTGGAACAAACCATTTAAATAGAAGCGTGCAAGGTGTGTGCTGTTCTTTACCTGATCAGCACAAGCAAAGCATGCTTAACTGTGGAGGATTACGGATTCCACCTGGGGTGCATCAGCTACAGTAGTGATGTGCAGCTCACCGTGTTTTGTCTTGGCACCTGTCCTGTACACCTGCAGGCCATAGGGGCTCATCAACCATGCAGGCTACAAAAGGGGGACTTGTCTCTTCTATCTGGCAGACTATGGTCATCCTGGAGCTCAACTCTGTTTCTTTGTCTGGTGTCACAATGCGTGTGCATTATTTTGGCATCCTATAGATATCTGTCTGTAACTGGTGGCTGATTACTGCCTTCAGAGAAATAAATATTACTTTATGCCTGGCTCTAGAATCGGAGCTAAACTACCATATTAAGGTGCTGCATTTCCTACTTACATTCATTCAGCTAAGCTTACTTTTATATCTTACGTTTTGTATTTTAATTCTTGCATTCTGTTCAAGAAATAAGCTAGAAAGACACTGTGATGTTTAAAATATTTATGTTGTAGAATTCAGTGGCACCTGCTGGTATGGCTGCCCTACATCAGTTGTATTTGGTTCAGAATGTATTTTACCTCCCAAATCTGGTACATTTTGCTTTTTTATATTAATATGCTGTTGGGGTTTTTGTTTTGTTTTCTTCATCTTTACTTTCTAACAGAATGCCTAATAAAAATGCATAAAGATGACAAATGTCATGTGATTATTGGATCAAGAGAGCTGTATTGACCAAACCAGGCTAACCTCCTCCCTTGTGCATATTTCCCTATCTCACCTTTTTTTTAGTGGGACTTTCACTCAAAAAAGTGTGTAACCTGGTCAGAAATCAATAAGACCTTATTTGAAATCAAGTCACAGTTTTATGCATAATAACTTGAAGTTAAAGACCCACTTGCTCCCAAATAGTTCCTTGCCCCCAACCCACGCACATATATACCCTTGAACATTCAGTGATCTCCACTATTGAAATATGTATCCCTCAAGTATATGGTGAGGCAATTTAGGCTTTTCGAAATAAAAATAAATTGTCTGGAGCTGTAACCAATTATCTGTGATCTAATGTCACTCTAGATCAGGGATAGATGACATGATGCTCTCCAGTTGTTTTGGATGACAAATTCCATCATCCCCGGTCAACTTGGCCAAAGATCAAGGGTTATGAGAGTTGTCGTTCTGGAGAAGGCAAGGTTCCTGGTCCCTGCTTTAAGTGGAAAATATGCTGATAAGTTCAAACATGAGACCAGAGACCTGTTAATGCATTTGCCAGGTCATCTCCTGATCAATTCAATAATGCATTCACTGATAGATTTTTTCCAGCTAATACTTTAACATTAATTTCCATCTTGGAAAGAGAACAAATCTACCTCAATTCAGATTAACCACCATTAGTATAGACATTCAAAATGTATAATTTCATCCAGGGTACATGTTAAACTGCTGGAGAAGACTTCTGCAAGTCCCTTGGACTACAAGGACATCAAACCAGTCAGTCTTTGAGGAGATCAACCCTGACTGCTCTTTAGAAGGCCAGATACTGAAGATGAAACTCAAATACTTTGGCCACCTAATGAGAAGGAAGGTCTCACTGCAGAAGAGCCTAATGCTGGGAACAATAGATGGCAAAAGAAGAAGGGGACAGCAGAGGATGAGGTGGCTAGATGGAGTCACTGAAACAGTCGGCGTGAGCTTAAGTGGACTCCGGGAGATGGTGGAGGACAGGAAGGCCTGGAGGAATGTTGTCCATGGGGTAGTGATGGGTTGGACATGACTTCACAACTAACAACAACATGTTAAACAGCCTTCCTTGACCTCCAGATGTTTTGGCCTATACATACCATTAGTCCCATCCAGCATAGCCAACAGGTACAGGGTGAGAGTTGGTGTCCAAAGCAGCTAGAGGCTTCCTGGTTTGGGGAGACTATCCTAGAACCTGTTTCAACAGCTGCTGCTGGTTTCTGGAACATTCAACTGCTGTCCTTTGCCCATGCAGTCTGACTAGAAAAGAAAGAGGCTTTCAATATGCAAGGAATGCATTTCCTTTAGCCCTGAACAGCTACACAGCCAATGTGACACAGTTGCTAAAAGCATCAGATCAGGCTTGAACGTGGAAAATCCAGATCCAAAGCTGAGCTTAATTATGGGTTAGTCACTGGGTAGCTTAGGGCAACTCACCATCTTTCAGCCTAACCTACCTCACAAAGTTGTCACATTAAAGCTGCAATCCTACCACCACTTACCAAAGAGTAAGCCACACTGAATTTTGTGAGACTTACTTCTGAGTAGACATGTATAGATTTGTACTGTATGGTTCTGCAGAGGACACATAAGATGCACATTCATCTTGTAAATAATAATTGCAGCTAGTGCCATTCACCTGAGACTCAGGATCAAAGCTTGTTGGCCTTGCAGGATTTAGAAGCTTGATCCTGGACACCAATCTTTTATACAAATGAAATGCTATGTAGTGGATTAAGCTGGTGAATCTTGGCATGCATGTATTGAGTTTAAGACATCTGGCGTAATCCTAAAAAGGGACATGAGGATGTTGGATAGCTTCTTTCCAGGGAAATGTTTTTCTGGGTAATCCTGTTGACCCATATTTAGGTATAGAAATAATGAATGGAAGTAGAATTATTTCCGGAGACCCACAACAGAAACAGCTGCCGTTATTTTTGATCTGCTGGTGCAAATCTGGTTTCCTGTTCTTCACATCACTACAGTCTTGTGGCTGAATTGTCTCAATATGGCCAGCAGGTGTCACTCTTAAGGGATCCTTTGCAAGCCACGGATGCAGGGTCATATTTGCTGAAAACCTCATGTTGTAGTGTATTAGAAATATATTAACTGGTATATTTAATAGTACAGCATGTATGTATTCACAAAGGTCACAAATGCAATATTGTTGTCTGGTGAGATAGACAGCCGATAAATAATAACAAACAACGGATAAACCATAACAAACCAACTTCTCACAAGTATCAAACAGACAACATAACTAATGTGGTGTAGTGGTTAAGAGTGCAGGACTGGGAGTCAGGTGATCTGGGTCCTAAGTCCCTACTCAGCCATGGAGCCAACTGGGTGACTTTGGGCCAGCCATAGACTCTCACCCCACCTAATTTACAGGGTTATTGTGGGGATAAGACTGAGAACAGCAGGAGGGGAATGATATGACAGAGTTCTTTAAAGAGAAGGAAAGTGGGATATAAATGTAAGCAATAAAGGAGAAATATTTCCAAAGGGGAGCATGATGCTGTATGGACAAATGTGAAATGGTGTTTGCAGTCGTCATAAAACAGAAGTTAATGGGAAGAATTTCTTCATTCTTCTATCCAGAATGTTAAATCATTGACATTGACAAGATTAGAATAGCCACTGAATGATGTCTTTGAATTTTTCATACTACAGAATTGTAAAAATTTGAGCCAGAGTCATAGACCAATCAGATGCAGGGGAAGCAGGTGTTTGTGTATGATAGGCTGCTGTTAGCTTAGGGGTGGTCTTAAGGAATCCATTGGCTCCTCCCAGTTTATAACTGCCATTGTGGGCAGAAGAGTTTGGAGACCCCAAGAAGGTGAGAGCTTTGATATTTTGCTACCATTTTAATACCCTAAACTCTTATCTGGAACTAGCTCTCCACCACAAAGTACCTTTCTGTACCGGTGGCTGGGATCTTGTCCAGCATTTGCGTTGGACTAATTCATCAAAGTTATTATTTTATTTCTTCTGAAAAAGATAAAGGTGTGTGTGTGTGTGTGTGTGTGTGTGTGTGTACATGCATGGGGGATGGTGGTAAGGAATATATAGGAAGAAAGATATGAGAATATCCACATCATATTATTCTGTTTATGTATTCAGGATAACTACTGCAGCTTTGGTTTTAATCTCTTAGTAATTTTAGAAATGCTTTCTTATCCTATAAACCCTGTTTGTAAAACTGGGAATTTTAATAGGATAGCCAACTTTGCAATATGCTACTGTAGGAATACTCTTCAACAGCTGTTGTGCCTGCAGAAGTGAGCAGGTGGGTGCTAGTAATCATTTTCATCCCGCAAAAAGTTTCACCAATTTACATGTACACATCAAACTGTTGAACACAGGAAGCATCCATGAGGCTGAGTGGGATCGGTTGGCTATATTTTTAATCAGTTTTAACTATGATAGTTATGATCAAAAGTGAGATTACCTTGGGACCAGCCCCAGGGCAAGTACAGGAAATCTTACCTTGGTAGAAACCTGCAAGCCCAAATGTATATACATGCATGGGCACAGGATCTATTGAACTCCCAGCTGCTTTTTTCTGAACCATCATGGTACACTGTGCCATGATGAATTGCCTAATATTCTTTATTTAACCTGTGGTATTCAGAATCAGAAATTATTTTTCCATTTTTTTATTATATGTATGTTTATGAATGAAGTAATGATGCCAGTCTACAATTGTGAATATGAAGCAGAGCAACTTGTCAGTACAAAATGGAAACAGAAAGTTATGACTGTGAGGCAGAGCATAAATCGTAATCAAAGAACAATGGGAATGCATGGTATCAAGCCAAAACAACAATCCAGTCTCTTACTGGCCTCTCAAAAGCATTATATCTTGAGGGGCTTATATGGTGGATTTGCATGTACAGATATCAATTTTTACTGTATTTACTACAGATACCTCCTGTCACTAGCAAATAACAGAAGCTGATGGTACACACAAAGCACAGCTTCGTGTACAAGAAGTCATCAATATTGCCATGGATTAGCAACTCTGTGGAAGATGTCTTCACATCTGTGCATTTACAAGACTTATTTCAGATACGTTATTTTCATTACTATGTCAGAGCTTACATTTTCATATCAGATAAAAAGAAACAAGCAGACAGCTAAACAGAAACCAAAAACCTATTAGCATGGCCAATGTTATTACACGACAGCCTTCTGGTACCCCAGCAGGACTCATAATTGAGGCCTACTCTTTAAACTGTTTCTTTCTGACTGGGCACTGGGCACTGGGCACCTGGCTGTAACTGCCTTTTAAATAACCATGGTTCTGAGGGATTGTGGGAAATTAAAATGGCACTCTTCCCTGTCTCCCCATTTGGCACTGCTTCGAGTGCTGCTGCTGTTTCTACTGGTAACCATAACCAGTTAAATCTAAATTAACCCAGAAGAGACTCCACCAAGGAGTCCTTTGCCTGGAGTTCCCTCAGATCTGGAGCCAGCCCTGTTTGTCTACAATTGCTGATATAAAGTATGAGTTTTGCATTGTCTCAAAATGACCACCGTATATACTATCAGTTGTGGTTGCTGGAGTAACGAATGTGTGCATTCAGCTAAAAAGGAATCCAGTGCTACATGTGGAGTCCACACTATTAGAACATGTCCAGCTTCTCTTTACCTAAACACATTGGCAAGCATTTGATCCTTTGGCACTGCAGTTCTTCTTGAACAGTTCCTTGCTGCTTAACATTTCCTGGTCCATTTTCAGTTTTAGCAGCCAGTGGCCAGGTTCACACATCATGCCAAGCAACACCACACGGTTTCTACCATGCATGGGTTTTTTGTGTGGATGTGCCTGAAAATGCTTCCCAATCCACCATTTTCTTCCCATTCAATCCCTCACCTGGTGTCCCAGGAGCCATCTTGGGGAGGAATGAGGCTCTTTGCATTGACAGTTGGCTTTGTGGCTGTCAAGCAGCGTCTGCTGCACAACCAGGGCTCATGCTCCAGATCACAGCAGAAAGAATGAGGAGCTGGTCTGGCACCTTCTCCTCCTGCTCCAGAGGAAACTTGTTCCAGGAGGACAGGGTGGCCAATCCATGCGCAGGCAAAGGGGGCTGGGGACTCCACCAGGCGGTGCTCCAGAAACAATTATCCCTCTGCCCAGCTGTGTGCCAGAGAGAAGCACTTTGTGTATGCAAGTGAGCCAGAGGCAGGGCAAGAAGCAGCAGGGCAGGGGTGCCTGGTTGGGGGCCGTGCACTGTAGTGGATTCCCCTACTGCTTTGCAGGCACAAGATTAGGATTGCCTGTTTGGCAAGCCAGAGCAAGAAAGAGGGGGACCAGTGCCACCTCCCCACATCCCCGCCAGCCCAGCTGCTTCTCACCCCTGCTGCTGGCTCGCTCACGCATGTGAGGTGCTTTGCTCTGGCCCATGCAAAGGGGCGGGGGGAACCGTTAAGTGGTGCTGCTCCTTTCTGCAGTGTAGCCCAGCAGCTTCTCACCCCCACCACCAGCTCATGAGGGAAATCTGTCACAACACCACTGCAACTGCCCAGCTGCTTCTTGCCATGATGCTCATGTGAGGAGACAGTGGCACAGAGGTTACAAAGTGGTGTGCAGCCGCCAACCAGCCACCCCTGTGTAGCAGATTCTCTCTACTCCTGCTCTTGTGGGAGCAGCAGTGGGGCAATCAACTGAGCAGGGCTGCTTTTCTCCCAGAGCCCCCCAGCTTTTCATCCAATCCTGCCCCAAAGATCTTTAGGGCAGGAGGTGCTGGGAAGCAGTGGAACTCTCTGGTTAGCTGCCTGGGAAGAGTGGAAATGGGCTGTCTTGCCAAGTGGCCCTATAGGTCTGGCTCAGAACAATGAGTTGTGCTTTCTGGTTTGAGCAACCAACAAGCAATTGTACATAGAGACCCTAAAAGAAGACCCTCATCTCAGCGTGTGGTCCTAAAAACCAAATGCATCATGCTGAAGAACCACTACTGGTTTTGGATGACACAACGAACCAAAAAAGGTCAAAAACCACCTTAGCTTGTTTTGTTGTGCAAACCCACCCATTGTCTGAATATCTTTCTTCAGCTTTCCTAGTATTGCAATGAAATTGTACACGAAATTGATAGTAATGAGGAGAAAAAGCTGGAGGGGCATCACAGTCTTGTCACAGCCAGTGCAATTTTAAATCAATGTGGGAAATAGGTTTTATGGTGCATTAAGTTACTATGTACATTGATTTGAGTAGCTTCCTTACTTCGCTGTTTGGCTTGTTTCTAGTTGAATGTACAAACAGAAATGTGTGGTTTATTATTCAATATCCTGAGCAGGTTTATGTGTAGCAAGAAACCAGAACCATTGAAAGGAATTCTAGTTTGACTGTGAATAGTTAGGAGTTCTCATGACCTTATGCAAAGTTATGTAGGGCTGTAACTGTGAATTACTAACTTATCCCACCAGGGAGCGGATAAAGCCATGCACCTTCACCTTGAAGTAAAGCTCGTTGAATTGTAGGGTTGTTTTGCTTTGCTGCCAAGATAACTTGGCCGGCTTTCGTGCCATACGCCCGCCGGGTACTTGTGTGTTCGCATCCTGACAGCGTAGGGAACTCCAGGCTTGCGTTCTCGCGCCGTATTAACACAGCCGTGGGGTGCGGGCTTTCCAAGCAAACGCGCACGGGACCGGGACGTTGTGAAGGGATCGCCCCACGCCAGCTGGGGGCTCTTCCCTGAGGCCTCGCACTAGGCAGCAGCTGAACACGCCGAGCGGCCGCGCTCCTTTCTTCGGAGGCGCAGAGCAGGCCCGAGGCGCGGAACAAGGGCGAGCCCTGCGGCGGCTGCCCCGCTCCTCGGCCCGAGGCAAAGTGCGTGCGTGTAACAAAGCCCTGGCAACGTGGTTGCTACCGCAGCGCCGGGTGCTTGGTAACCGGGCGCTGCCCCTTTAAGCTGCCGGAGGGCGGGACGGGGGCGAAGAAATCCTCCCCACCCCGCCCCACCCTCCGGCCGGCTCTCTGCGCCTTTCCGCCACTCGGGCTGGTTGCTGGGTCCCGGAGCCCTCGCCTTCTCCGTTTCCTCCTTCGCGCGCTCACTTCCATCCCATGCGGACGGCGGGGAAGGAGTTCTCTGGCGGCGGCGGCGGGAGCAGCAGCAGTCCAGACCCAGGCGGGCGGCGGCTCCCCCTTCCCTGGGCATGTCCCGCTGCGGGCGCTTCTTACGCTGAATCCGGCTGAGTTGCGGGGCGAGCGCCGCCGCCGCCGCCACTTCTGCCGCCGCCGCCCGAGAATAAGTGGCCCCCATGAGTGCGGAGACGTCTTCCCGCGCGTCCACGCACCTCCGCGCCCTCTTTAGGATGGAGCCGCCTCCGTCCGCCGCCTCGGAGCAGCTGCTGGGAGCCTCGGAGTTCCTTAAAGGTGAGCGAGGGGGCGGGCGCCCCGCTGGGACCCTGGCGGGAGAAGGAGGATTGGCGGCGCCCGGCCAGGACGCAGGAGCTTTGCTCCCCCGCCGGCCCGGAACTTGCGTCCTGCCCGGGTTTGGAGGCACCTGCCCTGGGAGAGGGGAAGGGGGGGCAGGTCACGGACTTTGGCAACGACAACTTGTCCTTAGCTGGAACAAAGCTACAAATGTGGGTTTAGGTCTTGAAAGTGTAGCTCCCCCCACTCAAGGCTTCGGGGAAGTGGAATTGGAGGATTACTTTTCTTCGCAGGAGGGCAGTAATGCGCCCTCTCCCAGCCTGGGTGGAGAGAAGAGTTAGGTAAGGTGGTGCTGTTGTCGTTCACTTTGGCAGCCCGGAAGAAAGTGTATTTGCTCGCGAGCAAATTTGAATAGATTTACCCAAAAGAGAAAGTTTGGGAATTGTAACCCTGAAGCCATGACTTCAAGCTGTAATCAAAATGTTGTGCAATAGGAGGGACCGATTAACTTGTGCTGAAATCTAGGATACTGCAAGAGTACTTAGTTTCCTCCTAATTTCCCCCCTCCCTCTCTGCAGACCGACTATATTTTGCTACTTTACGGAATAGACCTAAAAGCACAGTGAACACCCACTATTTCTGCACGGATGAGGAATTTGTTTATGAAAAGTAAGTTTGTTTTTCTCTTTTTCTTAAGGTTTGTTGTTGCTTCCCTCTTCCAGCACTCTTATTCGCCTTCGGTTTCTCTTTTTTTTTTTTTTTTAAGTCTGTCGCCAAGTGACCGAAGTAGGTTTGTTCTTTATTTCTTTCACTCAGTGCCTTCGGTAGTAAAATACGTTGTCATCTAGGCTGGGTTACTGATGATGTGTTGATACGTGGGTTACTTTTTTAAAGCTTCAGAGCCTATCTTGAAGACTAATTGCATCTTACTGGAGTCTTAAATAGAAAATGGATATTTCCCCCCCTTTTGTTCTTTCCCCCATTTCTTGCTTTTTGTAAAATGAATCTTACTCTTAACAAGGCAACTGTGGCCTGTTTTTAAAGTATGTTGTTGAATTACATTGATCTTTAATCTTTTTAAAGGAATAGTGAGTTTATCTTTCCCACAATTATAACTTAGAAATCTGTTTTTCTACAATTTGATGAGAAAGCAAAGAAGTCATGGCTTCACTGCTATTCTGTAAATCCGTGAAGTGTGTTAGATTAACCATTAAAGATGTGGATTGAACTTAAAGGAGTAAATATGCTATACAATGGCTAAGAGAACTTCACTAAAATCATGATTTCATTCAAAGGATCTTGTGGATATGAGTTTTTCTCATTTTAGAAAAACAAGTTTTTTTAAAAAGAAAAAACAATCTCACTGCAACTGGGATTGTCCAGAAACTTCCTGTGGCAAAACTAAAAATGCAAATATCCACAGAGTGTAACAAGTAAAGTTTCTAATGAACGGTTTTTCTCACAGTACCCACTTAGATTGCGGCATTGCATGTCCTTTACCTACATTTCCTTTCCCCAAACACAGCATAATCATGGAGTTTTGGCAGGGAAAGGTTTCCCTAAATATGCAAGATTTAGGACAGATGGAGCAAGGGGAAGGAAAGGATGTGCAGTAAGTTGTTAGTAATAATTATAATAATGCCTTCTTTCTCTAAGCAGCACTGTAATGAAATGTAAGTAAGACTTTGGAAGAGAAATATTAGGGAAAGGAAGACTCCATTATGTCCCTTTAAAATTTTACAGTGCCCATGTATTTTTGCACGCTTAAATGCAAAATCTATTAAATTGGTTTGAACTAAGTAATAGTGCCTTTCTTTCAATGGTACATACAATGCAAATCTATACAATCCTTCTGAGAAGACAGCCTCAGCATATTCAGTTGTGCTTACTTCCAGGTTAAGTGTATATAGACTAGCAGCATTAGTCATGACTGATCCTTTGTTGGAGTATATCCTAAACACACTCCTCAGATGTTTATCAGTTTAAAAAGAGTTTATATTTAAGATACTAATTTACAGTAGTAATCTGTGCTGAAGTATACAATTGTAACTCTTCTCATCCTTGGATTTTTTTAAACTGCTCAATGAAAGGACTTGCCTTAGCTTACGGATGATTGATGGTGTAACTATCTTTGCACTGTCTGTAATATATAACGTTTTCAGATTGTGTGTAATAATAGTTTTAAATACTTTGTTTTAGTTATGGACTATCCAATATAAGCACTGACCGTAACTGAAATCAAAATAGCTTAGTATGGTTATTATGTTTGTGCTGAACACCTGTTCTTTAGTGGCTTATGGTCCATGGGGACAAGTTACAAACAAGTTATCACACTTATTAAAAGAAATATCTGAGGAATTCCACACTGTTCTCTGATACTTGGGTGTGATCCTGTGCAAGTTCAGAAAGGAAAGAAAGGCCAACAGCTCACAGTGTGCCTCAGCTAGGTGTGCTGACTGGGGCATACTGGGAGTTGAAGACCCCTTTTTCTGTCCTAACTTGCATAGAATTGTACTCTTAGGTCCTTTCCAGCTGCTGTAATAAAATGCAGTAGGTTACCAGGACTTTTTAATTGCCAGACAGAGTAGGTTTGTACTGAGTCTTAAGGTGAGTGTCAATGACTGGATGGAAAGATGTGTAGCAGCGTATCTCCTGAAATGGGAGGTGAAGGAATCACATGTAAGGAATGTAGGGAGCTAAGGGACCACCTTCGCCCATATGAGCCTGCCCAACCCCTTAGATCAGAACAGGGGGCTTCTACAGGAGCCACCCCTCAAAGAGGTGAGGGGGTGGCCAATTGGAAAAGAGCCTTCTCAGTGGCTGCCTCCCACCTCTGAAATTCACCTGGCGCTGTCACTATTTTCATTTCAGTGCCAGGCAAAAACGTACCTTTTAAAATATTTTTATCTATCCTGACTCCCTTCGAACTATTTTATGTTACTGTATTATTATTATATTTGATTTTTAAAAAATTTAAGGCTCTTAAAATTTTATATTTAAAAATGTTTATTAATTTGTAAGTTGCCTAGGGACTTTTTAAAGTAATTAGTGGCATATAAATGGAAATAGAAATAAATAAAAAAAATGTAAACAAGCGTGAGAGTGTCTTCTTCCTTACCAACCTGCTGGGTCACTGTGGTCATCAGATGGCATGATCCTGGTAATTCCAGTTGACTTGTGGCTTGACTGGAGTCCACTCAGAGAAGACCCTTCAGCATGACAGCCTCTGGGAGTCAGGCTGATAACCAACATGTTGTTTCTGGCATATCCTGAAAACACCTTTATTTCAGGAGGCCTTCCTTGGTTTCTCAGTCAACTTTTCTGTTGACATTCTGTTTTAATAGTGGGAGAGGAGGTTGGATGGTGTTGCAATTTTTTGTTTTTACCCCTTTGATGGCTTTTTAGCAGGTAGCTATATTAAGGTTAATAATAAGAGAGAAAGTAATAATCATAAAAGCAGACATGAAATCTTAGTTGCTCTTCAGGGTATTCAATCTTAAAGTGTTAGTATTAGGTCAGGCATTGTTTACCAAGTTTGTATACTAAGGCTTTCTGCTGAAATTCTGAGATTGTTTGGTTCTATGTAAGCTTTCTTACACTTAAAAAAATAAAACCTGTCCAAAAATGGAAGAATAACTATAATACAGCTAAAATACTGTTAGGTATGTACAGAGATGGTGAAGGGGTATGTGGAATGGAAAGGATACCATGATCTGTGCTTCCTTGTTTACTGTTAGAAGCTTATTGCATGCAAAGCTTGTGAAACAATCTCTACATATTTGAACATTTGTAGATAGAGGTGGCAATAAAGCACTGAGCAAGGTATATTGCTGTCACTCCTCCTAAGGCAATTCGACTCTGAAAGGTACAGTCCTTTCCATCAAGTCTTTATTTCTTGGAAGTCCTCATGCTGAGAGACTTCTAAGTTTCCCAAAGCCTGCTGTACTGAAGATAGTGGAGGAAATAGTGGCGGTGATCTTAGTTTTCCTGTCTCCCAGTCTTCTGTGTTTTGCTAGACGGGCTTTTCAGCCTGTCCAGTAAGCCCTCAAAGGAGAAGGCATGGTCCTCTCCATGCGGGTTACCTGTGCCTTCCTCTCGTTACTGAGATGCTGCTTCATGAGTTATAGGATTGCCCTCTTGGGGCTCAATTATATACATCTTTAGACAGGAAAAAGTACCATTATTCCCAGAGTTTACCCGTCAGCCATGCTGGGTAGGGAATGCTGTGCTTTTGTAGTTGTAGGACTTTTGTATCTAAACATGTATAAGGCTATGTCCTGAAATCATTGTTAAAACTTAATTAGGTAACTTGGATATTGCATGTTAAAATGATACAATACTCTACACTGCCCAAAACTATCTATGTTGCTAGGTCCATTAGCTAAACTTTCCAGCAGTTTAAAAACTTGAGTAATACATAATCGGTTCTAATCTTGACAATCCACAATATTAGATACTTTTTGCATAGCAATAATTATACTACTTGTTAGTAGGTACTTGAATTTCTTGTATCTTCCTGATGATTTATTTTAGTCATACAAAATTAGGGGCTTTTGGAATTTGGCTGGAGAATGTCATCTTAAATCTGTACCTCTTAAGAATAATTGTATTGTAATCATAATAATTTAAGTGATCAAAACTTAAGGTGTATTCTAGGTAGCTCAAAGTACTCTGTATTACATAATTACCTGCTTCTGGTACAACAAAAGAAACTTTTCTTTGAAGTAGTCTATTGTAGAGGCATAGCCTCAAGAAGGATTTCAATGGTAATGAGTATCAAAATCCTAGAATCTCATAGTTCTTCCTTGTCTCTGCACTCTGTTAGGGATTTGACAATATGTTTGCTTGGAATGAAGTTTCTTGCCTCAGATAAATTCTTCATAGGAAGGAATGATTCCTTTAATAAATTGATCTTCATTTTTAGCATCAAAATTTATATCAAAAGGATAATTTCATGCATTCTACTTTTTCTGTTAGTTGATCTCATACTACTCAAAGGTTTGGAATCTTCTTTAGTTACAGTGGATTCTGTTTTAACTATTTCCCACCACTTGCAATGGAGTTCAGGTGGATGTTTTTCTATGGGGTAGCCTACCAGACCTGAGAAAAGTGCCTGATCCTGCCTAATCTTGGAAGCTAAGCAGGCTTAGGCCTGGTTGAAATCTGGATAGGTGGCCTTAAAATGTTGTGTATCACCCAGAGAGCTTCAGGTATGGATGGTATAGAAATGTAGTGTTGTTTTAGTATTATAAATCTGTTTAGTTTTAATATATATGACTCTCAGTGTGACTACTTTAGTCATCATTTTTTAAACCAAACTCCTCACCTCTTAAACCTTTTCTCAGGGTGTTTTGATCCCTTCTTGTACCTTTTCAAACTTTAATCTTTAAATACGGGAACTAGAACTACTGCAGTATTCTAGATGGGACATACAGGCTAATATAACGGCATATCTTTCTTGTCTTTTCCTCTTGTTGCACTTGCACATCACCACCCTCGCTACCACGTAATACTCTTCATGATTTGTTGCAATATAAATTAATTGTGACGATACAGAAAAACATTTAGATCAATTCTTGAGGTTTTAGGAGAGTTTACTATAGTTGTGTAAACCAACTGGCATTTTTTGCACCCCGTTAAAAATTTGTAGAGATGCTTTTGTAATCTCC